ACACACACCACACACACAAACATCACATACCACACACACACACACACTACACACACACACACACACACACACACACACACACACACACCACGCTCCTGGAAGGTTGAAGGAGCCTCACACACTTTAACAGGCTCCTCTCACAGTGACAAACAGCTGCCACACCTGAGGTTTGTTGTGACCAGTCTTTGTAAATCTCAATGACTTCTGAATTCTGCCACTCTGTCAGGGGGGCTCCCTGGCCCTCTAGGGCTTGACAAGTCAGCCAGGCCTTACAACATTCTTTTTAACCTGTTTCTCTGCTCAGTAACTGAGCCTCCTGAGTGGAGGAAAAGTTGGTTGTCAGGCCTTGAAATCCAGAAATCACTAGCGTAGCCCCTTCAACAGACTGACCTTCATCCCCAAACCAAACGGAAGTAGAGAGAATGACAGTAACAGGAAAAGGTATGCGAGGGACAGATGACAAGAAAAACAGCCTGTGGTCCTGGAACCTGGCTTCCCTGTCCTGCTGATAGAGTCAGGAAACTTCTAGCATCTTTGTTGAAGTCACAGTTGCCTAGTAAGGCACTCTGTGCTAGCCACAGACTTCTCTTCTGTTGGAGGCAACAGAGATATGCTTACTTAGGCCAAAATGATGTACAAATTCCTACAAAGATCAAGGGTGAATAAACTGCTCTATAAAACCAAAGAAACCTATATAACCTTGAACATGCCCTGAACAAGTGCCTCTTACAAACCCACCTTATAACTTCGTTTACTAAGAAAAAGTCTCCAATATTTAGTCTTGTTACAATACTCTTTGGGCAGTGTCGAAAAAATAGTTAAAGAGTGTGTGGTGTGTATGTGTGTACAGGCACGTGTGTGTTGAGGGCACTTGGTACTTTAACCACTTTTAGTGGATCAGGGTTCAATTCCTGACACTCCCGTGGTGGCTTGCAAACATTTATAACTCCAGTTTCAGAGAACTCAACACCCTTTTCAGACCTTCACAGGCACCAGACATACACAAACATTTATGTACGTAAAATAAAAAGTAAGTGTGTGCATGCGTGAGTGTGTCTGTCTGTCTGTGTCTCCTGGGGGACATTCTTATCAACCCTTAGAGAGGTCACTTAAAAACTACTAAGATACTATAGAAACCCACTATAACGACACTTAATTAAGTTTGACTCTCATCCACAAGTCCACAGCCATGTGTGGGAGTGTCTCACTGTTTCCCCAAAGTCCTCTCTCTCTTAATCCCTGTGCACAATATCTATGTTAGAAATGTACTTAATATCCAATTCTGCTTATACCGGCTTTCATTCATGGAAGCCACACATCCTGGTCTTGCCTGGATGGAGGTCCCTAGAGGCCAGAGAACGCTTGAGGATGCTCTGGGAGACGGAGGGAGCTAGGTTTCTATCTCTGTTGTCCACAATGACCCTTTTCCCTCCCATATTAAATTCATTGGTTGACTTCATGGTCTCATCCATTTCTGACCCACAGGCTGGGAAGTCTGGACTTACCTTCTAGGAGTGTTGCTGACTCTGAGACCCAAGGAAGCAGGCACCTAGCCATATGTCTGATCACAGTCTGTCTTCAAAGTTGGTGGATGGAACTGCCTGATTGGGCTGCAGGTCTAACAATATGACGCCACCTTTGACTTCTCAAAGAGCAGGATGACACCGACTACCCTGGCAATGAATTTCAAGTGCCATGTGACATTCACAATATCCACCTCCAAGCCCTGGGCAGCAGCCTGGGTCAAATGAGGCCTGGGGACTGAAGGCAAGTCTGCAGAGTATGGCACCACTTCTTGTGGTGGGTGGAGGATTTCCCCAGTCCTAAATCTTCTTACTCTTCTGGATTAGGAGGTACACTCTCAAAGCCAGCCCCGGATGCCTGAGCTCCTTAACCCAGAAACAGAGAGTGCTGACCCCACAGAGATGAGTTGCAGGTTGCCAACTGCTCAAGCTGCTCCACAGGAGCCACACAGGGTGCTTCCTGCAGCCCATGTGGAGGCTTCTTCTGTTTGCAAAACTTACTTAAAATATCCTGCCTTTCTCATGGACAGAATCCCCTTAGGATGTAGCTGAGGTAATTGTTAATCTACATCCCCAGGTCATTCTTCAGTGAACCTAAGATGCTTGAGTGTGTTAAACAGGTATTAATTCTTCCATGAATATTTGCAAAGAAATCTATACCCAGTTCCCTTTCCTACATCCAGTAGGAAATATAAAATAATAAACTATATTTAAAAACAGAAGCTCACAGTTTCAGGGTAAACAGGTAGAACACAACACTCGATGTCTTGGAAATTTTTTATTCTCCCTGATTGCATCTTGTGGTGAGAATTTCGTACTTTTGGTTTCTTTAAAAAAAAACATAGAAATATTATATGAATACGTTTTTGTTTTGGTCCCAGGTATCCCAGGGGATATAAGGCCACCTTGAAGCAGATGACTGTGATTTGCCTCATGCTCTAGCAGAGGCAGATATTTTCTGCGACTGTGTGATGTTTGGAATTCTGGGGACTTTTTGGAGGATATATAAATGCTAGAGCCTGGGTAGGTAGGTTGTTGGCTGATTGCTGATGGTTGTGGTTTGTTAAGTAGAAAGAAGAAGAAGCAATTAGATATCCTGGCAGCAAAGATCAAACATGCCCCAAGGGACTTGACATCCCTAATCAGCGGAAAGTAGTGTAATGATAAAATCACTCCCTCTCTCCACTATCCTTTTTTCTCTCCTATCTAGGGTTTGAAGAGTGCAAGAAAATGGGTGGAGAAGGGTGGGAAAAAATAACCTACAAACTAGCCAAAGTGCAGCTAGCACTTTTTGACATTTTGTTTTAACAAACAATAAAGAATGACAGGAAATTATTTAGTGTCATACAATTTTCAGAAAGTAGTTTTATTTTTTAAAAGGTCCATATTTTAAAAATACATTAGAAGTTTACAAAAAGTGAGTTTCCACTATGTAAAGCATGAAGTCAAAGGTCAGAGGAAATACCCTCAAGCAAATTCTACTCAAATTAGAGGTCCTTCCTCTTTGGAGAAAACCTTTGTCTGTCTATCTATCTATCTATCTATCTATCTATCTATCTATCTATCTATCTATCTATCTAATGGTGCAAACTCTGCCACTGAGCCTCACCCCAGCCTTAGGAGAAACTTTCTTATGGGGCTTGTCCACAAGGCTTCCTTCCACATGACGGCCATCTTGTTCCCTTCTTCAGTGGAAAAGTAGGAGTGCGAACACAGAATCACAGGACACTTGTGACTGGTCGAATGCAGCCTGACCTCTGAGACCAGTTATCTGAGTTGTTCAAGCCAGGGTGGGTTGTTAATGAAGCTCAAGGGGACCAGGAAGTCAGGAGGATGCAAGACAGTGGGCTTCTGTCCTCTTCCTCCAGACTTGTGCCGAGAGACCTCTCCCTCCACAAGGCAGAAAAGCTCCCTGAGAAGGGAGCTGGTGTTGCTCAGGAAAAATGGTACAATATTTCCAGTCTCAGACATCTAAATCCAGCTTTTTGATGATAAATCACCTGGTAGGGAAGAAAAAAAATACATGATTTAAATTCAAACAGTAATTTTTTTTACATTCCCATGACAAAAGATTGACCTACCCATCAGGTCAGGCTTAACAACTCAGATACCTGAGCAGAAGAGCCCTGACAACTGGTACTGTCCAGAGGTGGAGTTTAGGGACACAGGAAGGAGACCCCAGTTTCCTTACATCTTTCCTTTCCCTGTGAGTTCACTGGTGCCTTCAGGTAAATTCTGTAGGGGTCCTTTGCCCTTCAGGATCTTCCTTCTGAGGCTCAAAGCCTCACAATTGCTTTGGAGACTAACTGGTTTTCCTAAATATCTGCCCCTTCGTATTTGAGGAGATGGCAGCCAGCCTTGAGAGCAGAGTCTGTGAAGGGGCGCTGGGCAGAGACACTGAGAGAGTTCAGTGTCATATAAACTCTTTAAAATAAAATACCTACTGATTGGGTATCATATGCTAAATGCTTGTCAGAATATGTACTGTACTTTTAAGTCTTAGGAAGGTCATCATCGTCTGTGAGAAGCACTTGTCACCCTACCCAAGCAGTAACAATCTGTCAAATTCTTTGAAGCATGGGCACACTCACTCACCTGCTCACCTTCAGCTCAGGTTTCTGATCTTGGTCATGTACTTGTCGGGCTCGGCAGCACTCATAACTGTAGTATAAATTGTGTAGCTGAAATAACAAGACAAATTCTTACACATAAGTCACCTTCCCTCATATTACCCTCCTGCATCTCCTGGGATGCAGGATAAGGATGCAAAGAGGTAGAATGTTTAAAACATAAACCAAGAGGGTCTAAGCAGATTGTCTTCCTATTCCAAAACACTATTTCGATCCGAGTCGCACTTCTAAATTCTGATTCTTTTTTTTTTTCTCGAGACAGGGTTTCTCTGTGTAGTCCTGGCTGTCCCTGGAACTCACTCTGTAGACCAGGCTGGCCTCAAACTCAGAAATCCGCCTGCCTCTGCCTCCCAAGTGCTGGGATTAAAGGCATGCGCCACCACTGCCTGGCCTAAATTCTGATTCTTCAAAGTTCATGCTGTGGTAGTGAGTAGCAGTCAGCCATATGTGGACCTACCTCTAGCAAGACCACTGCCTGTTCTTTGCTTGAAAAGGGGCCCCTCTCCAACTTCTTGCACAGCTGCCCTTCAGAGCAAACTAAGCTTCCAATGGCCTTGCCCTTAGAAGAGTATGTGAGGAAGATCTCCAGGGAAAGATTGCCAGAGAAACCCTAGCTCACAGACTGTCACAGTCAATACCATGGGCTAAAAGAGGGAGGAATAATACTTAATATCAACAATAATATAAAAACAATATTTAAAAAAAACTTTTTTATTGTTTTGTTTTTGAAACACGGTTTCTCTGTGTAGCTCTGGCTGTCCTGGAACTTACTCTGTAGACAAGGCTGGCCTTGAACTCATAGAGATCCACCTGCCTCTGCCTCCCAAGATGTGGGCCACCACCACCTGGCTAACAATATTTCTAAAACCCAAAACAATAGATACATTAAAAAAAAAATCACAGTGAGCTGGGGTGGGGGGAGCAGAAACTTGAAGGTGACAAACAGTCCTAACAGGGACTCAATGAGGACTGTCTGTGCAGACTGAAGGACAAACATGTCACCACCCATCTCCTTCCACTATCCAGGTCATCCCATCCTCTTGGCTTTGGTCTGGTTTTCTTGAATTCCTTGCCTGATTGTGATATGTTTACCCGACCCTCTTCCTCAAACTAGAACACCTGTCCCCGTTGCTTTGCCCTGTTCACTATGGTCTCCATCAAGGATATCTGCTCCCCACCCCACTCTGACACCCCTCCCCACCCCCACGCCCTGCCCCACTCTGCATCCACCCATTCCCCTATCCACCACCACCACCACCCACCACCGCCACCCTGCACCGCCCCCTCCCACAAGCCAGGATGTGTGTGAGGTTGTAACAAGGTAACCAAAAAGCAGGTTAAAGCCGGGCAGAGCCTGCCTCCAGTTTGCTTCTGCTCATTCACTGCTCCCCACTGCTCACCTGCTGCACACAAGCACGCTAGCTAATCTGTCAGGGAGTGCCTATCTAGAAACTGGTGCTTGCCTAAACTACATCAACTCATTTCAAGGCTTAACCCTGCAGAACCAGAACGGGGACAGTGAGCAGCCAGACCATGCCCTACCAGGAGGAGCTACTCTGGATGTCGGACTCCATTCTTCCTCTATTTAAATCTAACCACCTGCAATTCCTTGAAGACCAGCTCTGACTCACAGAGTCATTTATTTGTTGGCCTTCTCAGCATGTTGATTGAAACTCCTCTGCTTTCCCCCAGTTCGTGTGTCTTTAACTGGCATGTAGGCAGGTGGCTGGGCTAGTCACCTGATAGTGTGGGGGCTTTTGACCTGGCCACAGTAACATTTTTCCTGGTGAATGGGAAGGAACGTGCTGAACACATAACTTACTTGTTATAAACAGGAAACATGGATAAAACCTGCATAGGAAAAAATCAGATTATGAAAACATAGAAGAAACACACATAGAGTATGTGTAAGAATATAACCACTGGCCCTGTGAGATGGCTCAGCAGGTAAAGGAGCTTGCTGCCAAGTCTGCCAAGCCTGAAGACCTGAGTTCAATCCCTGCAACCCATGTGGTAGAAAGAGAAAACAATTCCCACAAATTGTTCTTTGACCTCCTTGTGTATGGTGTGGCGTGAGCATGCACACACCACACACACACACCACATACACACACACCACACCCACACCACACCCACACCACACACACACACGTATACACACACACATACACCACACATACACACACAACACACACACATACACCACACACACACAACACACACACACATACATATACACACACATTTTATATATATATAAAAAGAATATAGCCACTTAACACTTCAGTGTATCTCAGGATAATTCAGCCCTGTCCTTTCTTTCTAGAACAACGAACATATTAAAGCTATGATTATTTCTCTCAATATGAAGACAAACTTAGGTGAAGGCGGATACTTTAACCTACACAGAGCCAAATTCAGAAACCATCATGTGCTTTTAAAAATGTTTTCAACAGTATAGAACTTTTACTGCAACATTTCTCCTGATTTTAGAGGTTTACACCCCAGGTAAGGTAAGCATTGAAAGAGTTACCTGGAAGAGGGTCTCCAGACTGAGGTGAGCTTGCCCTGTGGCATTTAGGGCTTTGATGGCTGGTGTTCTATAAGAACAATGAGCGACAGTCACTAGGTGCTTCTGAAAACCCCAAGTCTCATCAGATATCATTTTGAGAGGCACAGCACAAGGCCCAGATTCTCCTCAAAACAGTTTCTAAGCATCCTTCCTGTGTCTGCTGGGTCCCACTTGCAGTGGGATTCATTCCGCTGGACTCCCTCAACCTCATGCTCAAGAAAATTGGGGCAGTAGCTGCAGAAATTGACTATTGCCAAACATGTGGTGCAATAGAGATTAGTGAGGTATACTTACTTCCTGTAACCAGATGACTCATAGTGTTTCTACATTAGAAAGCGCGGTGCAAGCTCTTGTATCAGCAGGCTAATTGACTAATTGGTTTATGGGAAATGACTTCCTTCCAAATAAAGCCTTACAACTGTAGCCCATTAGTTAGCCCCTCCCTCACACTCACAGGTAGATGAGCAAAGGCCCCAGAGGCCCCATAGAATCATTGGTGGGGTTCATGATAGGATCCAGTGCTCCTTGACCCCGAAGCCAGGGCTAACTTCATCCCTCCAGCCAATACCACCTACTAAGAGGTCCTCCCCACTGCTCCTCCACACCCTGTCCAGGCCCTAGGGAGAGGCCAGGTATATTTTCTGGAAGGAGGCAGCACCTGGAGGGCTCTGCTTTTCCTGTTGTAGGAAGGGGATAGTCTCCTGATCATGAGGAACATTGGAAGTCTATGTGTCGGGCTTGGTATCATGCCTCTGATCATAGTACAAGGAGGCTGAGGCAAGAGGATTACTCTGCATTTGAGGCTAGCCTAGGCTTTAAAGTAGGTTCCACACTAGCATGGTAAGGACCTATCTCAACGAAACAGGACAGGAAACCAAGAAGAGTCTACCTTCGGTCATCCCTCTTGGGTACAGGCTTCCAGTGGTCGTAATTCGTCTCAACTCGGAACCACCTGCAGTAGAGTACAATAACCTGTCTTATCCAGCGACACTTAGAAGAAATATTAAATGTAAAAATAACTCCTACTTCAGCAAATAAAGATTTGATAAAGAGACTGTAATTCTACTCACGCTCCATTCAGAGGGTCAAGAGGCCAAATGTCCGCCGGGCCACCTCTGTCCCTGGTGATGACTAGTCCCTCCTTGGGCGATGTACCCCCAACAATGTAATAAACATCGGCAATGAGGGGAGTCTTGGCCAGCGTGTAAACAGCTGCTTCAAAGTTTTCTGACTCACTCAGGGTCTAAACAAAAAAGACAAACCAGTATTGGCAAGCTCATCCAAGGGGAAGGCCCAGATTGCAGGACACACATTCCAAACCTCCTTATGCTAAGTAAGCCAAGGCTGTAACCTGTAACTCCTCTGGCTCTCCTTATGCTAAGCCAAGGCTGTAACCTGTAACTCCTCTGGCTTCATCCTGTCATGGGGACTCCTAAGGAAATAACAAAACTCCTCAGCTTTGGCTGAGGAACTTCTAGCGGCGGCAGGAATTTCTCAGGACAGCTTGTCAGTCAGTCCCACACTGGGCTCACCTAGACTTGGTATGAGACAGCCCACACCTCCCATTCATTTATTCTCCCTGTAACCACTGTTTGAATACTGCTCTGGTCTGGGCAATGTGCTGGGGGGGGAGCCAGGATCTCACTCTCAAGAAACCTTCCGATAACATAAGACGTGACCAGGCAACAGTGACACGGTGAAGTAATCATGGAAGCCACAGTAGGGAACCTATCTGGAGCACAAGAGCTCAAGGACCAAGAGACAAACAGCAGTCTCACTGAGAGAGCGGCTACAGGCTGTGGAGCGGCTGTGGGACTGAGATCAGTGACCTCAACTGGCAATGGCTGGGAACTGTGGCATCGTGACACTGGAATGAGGAGACAGACTAAATCTGAGAAAATGTGCAAAGGTCTGAAGCGAGCAGTGGAGGGGGTCACCTTCCTTCTGACTCCCCGCTTCCGTTTGGGCTCCTTCCCTAAACTGAGCTGCCAAGAACACCCTGCGGCATGACCCTCCGGCCCCTCCACCTTCATGACCACTGCTGGTCACTTTCCGAGAGAAGACGTTTTACAGTCATCGTCCTATTAAGACACAGGGATAGGAAAGGGGCCAGATGACGGGACAATTCAGAAGCTAGGGTCACCAAAGGCTCTCTCATGTGGCACGGAACCCACAAGACCTTGACAAGACATTGGGAGTTCCCCAGCCTGGTATATGTTGCTGGAAAGATGAGATGTCTTTATTACTCTATTTACATTTGTTTTGTGTGTCTACTCTATGTCTCCGATCACCCCTTCCTTATCCCGTTACTCTTCCTTTAAAGCAGCCAGGTGCCTCCGTACAGATCAGAGCTGAGCTGTGTACAAATCACACCACATTCTTGTCTCTATCCCAGTAGTATAGACCTGCCCTTGTGACTGTTAAGTAGTATCCAGCTTTACCACTGATGTTTACTATGGAACGTCACAGATGCCTCTGGAAACACTAAAATGCTTCTTCTTAGGGGACGGGGGTCATGTGAAGGAAGCGAAGCCGCACGGCGTGGTCAGTCTGTTTAGATGAGTGCGGGTGGGGCGGGGGGGTGGGGGCGGCGAGGCGGAGTCCACACTGCAGGCTACTCACTCTGCGGATAAGCCAGCTGATGGGGGAGTGGCCCAGTGAAAGCGCCGCGATCATATTCTCCCACCACCGGCCTTTATCTGCGTGCATGAAGAAGCATCGGTCAGCCCACGGTCCAAACACCATCCACATGAAAAATAATCTTAATTAATAAAGTTTTCTTATGACACTTATTTACATACTTATTTTTACTGTGTGTTTAGGTGTGGCCACAGCTGCAAGAATCAGTTTTCTTCCACTTTGTGGGTCCTGGGAATTGAACTCAGATCCACAGACTTGGCTGCACGTGCTTTTACCTGCTGAGTCATGTAGCTGGCCCCCATTCACAAAATGTGTTTTCTTTCCTTATATTATAAGCTAATATGAAAGAAATTTTAGCTAACGAAGAGTGATTTTTTTTTTACTAGTGTCCAGCTTTTAAAGGCCTGAATTTCTTCCTTAAAATTTATATATTTATTTAGTGCGGGGGGGGCACACGGGGGTGGGGTGTTTAGCCAGCTTAAATATGACAGCTTTTCATCAAATGTGTACGTTACAGACTAACTCGGTTTCTTTAAATTGCTCATGTTCCAATAACCACTTTAACAAACATCTTAATTCACAAGATGATGGATCAAAGCCAGTCAAAGCCTGTCATTTAAATAAACATATACACTTGGAGACACACACACACACACACACATACACACTTAAAAAAAAACCAAAAACCAAAAAACCACCTTTCAGCCTTGTCCTGCTGTGGCTGAAACTCAGATTCATTCATGACTGATGTTTGAAAAAAATGTGAATAAATACACAGGGATAAAAAGCTGAATACTGAGATGGGGGGCTCATCCAAATGAGTCAATAACAGCATGATGCTGGTCAGGGGTCATCAGGTGAGGAACGTCACATGAATGTTCTTTGCTCTCCAAGTCCCTAGGAACAGCTGTAAGAGGTCACCTCTCTCTGGGCTTTCCACATATTATGGAACTGAACACTGCCTTGAAGTTTGGGCAATGACATGGAGTTGTTAGCAAATGAAACAACTCAACTAACTGGCCCAGGCCCCAGGAGATGAGCCGGAGAACTCCCCTTCCTCCATCAGCCACTGCTTCACTTCGTAGCCTCAGTTTCCAGCCCTACGTCCTGCATGGTCTCTAGGGTCAGCTCTGCCTCCTTCCATGAGAAAATGTTTGAATACCTGCACGTTAAATCCAAGAGGTTCACAAATGTTGCTTGTGGACAGAAAAACGGATTTCTGGATGAACTGGATATCTCCCCCGTGTTCTTCTGACTCTATCTTAACCCAACACAGTCCAGGCTCTACCAAGAAGCCAAAGTAAGGGTCAAAACCATAAACCAGGTCTAGGCATGGTGGTGTGTCTGCAATCCCAGCTGATACAAGGAAATTCTAGTGGTGTGTGTGTGTGTGTCTGTGTGTGTGTATGTCTGTGTGTGTGAGAGAGAGAGAGAGGAGGGAGAGAGGAAGGAGAGGAGGGGGTCGGAGAGACATAGACAGACACACACACAGACATAGACAAAAAGAGAGAGAGAGATAGAGACAGACAGAGACAGAGAGACAGAGAAACAGAGGGAGATCTGTTTACTCTTCCACCTAAGACTCCCTCATGGCTTCTCTTCTGCTTAAAACTCCAGGTGCTCGTTATGCTCAGTCTCCTCTGCAGCTCCAATGTCCTCCCTGCCGTAACTACGCAGACGCTGTCTCATTTCTGCGATGGACCAACTGTCACACCTGTAGCCTTGTCCATGGCTTTCAGACCACAGAGATCTCTGGCCTCTGCAGACAGAGACTGGGATCACAACGGTCAGGGAAGGTCTGCCCCTCCCCATGCCTCTGTGCCTCGCATCAGCTCTTCCTTCACTCCTGTGGTTCTAACCAGCACCCGAGATCACCCTCCACAGTCACGGGCTACTTTCTGTCTCCCCTCAGCAAGCGGAAGTCCTGGTGCTGGAAGGTTCCTTCTACAGATTCTTCTGGTCAAGCCAGTGAAGGAAGCACCCAGAAAACCTCAACAAGGATTTGGTTTAAAATACTCAAGAGTTTATTTTAATTACCTCGTTCATCACCAGAAATTGTAAACTTGTGTGGACTTTGACCTGTCCACAGTCCTACATAGCCAACAAAAGTGGTCCCCGTGAATACAATCTGAAATTGGAAAAAAAAAAGGCATTACTTTACTGCTCAACAGAATAGACGCTGAAATCTCTTAATTTCCCTACATGCTCCTGCAGTTTTTTGAGTGAGGAGTGAGTGAGGAGTGAATGAGGAGTGAGTGAGTGAGTAGTGAGTGAGTGAGTAGTGAGTAGAGAGTGAGTAGTGAGTGAGGAGTGAGTGAGTAGTGAGTGAGTAGTGAGTAGTGAGTGAGTAGTGAGTGAGTAGTGAGTGAGTGAGTAGTGAGTAGTTAGTAGTGAGTAGTGAGTGAGTAGTGAGGAGTGAGCAGTGAGTGAGGAGTGAGTAGTGAGTGAGTAGTGAGTAGTGAGTGAGTAGTGAGTGAGTAGTGAGTAGTGAGTGAGTAGTGAGTGAGTGAGGAGTGAGTGAGGAGTGAGGAGTGAGCAGTGAGTGAGGAGTGAGTAGTGAGTAGTGAGTGAGTAGTGAGTGAGGAGTGAGGAGTGAGTAGTGAGTAGTGAGTGAGTAGTGAGTGAGGAGTGAGGAGTGAGTGAGGAGTGAGTAGTGAGTAGTGAGTAGTGAGTGAGTAGTGAGTGAGTAGTGAGTAGTGAGTGAGTAGTGAGTGAGTAGTGAGTGAGTAGTGAGTAGTGAGTGAGTAGTGAGTGAGTAGTGAGTGAGTAGTGATTAGTGAGTAGTGAGTAGTGAGTGAGTAGTGAGTAGTGAGTAGTGAGTGAGTAGTGAGTGAGGAGTGAGGAGTGAGTGAGTGAGGAGTGAGTAGTGAGTAGTAAGTGAGTAGTGAGTAGTGAGTGAGTAGTGAGTGAGTGAGTTGTTAGTTGTTAAGATGAGGCTTTACTATGTAGGACAAGCTGGCCTTGAACACAGAGATCTGCTTACCTCTGCCTCTCCTGAGTGCTGGGGTTAAGAGTATATGCCACCATACCCAGCTTCTGGGATTTTTTTTTTAGAGGTTTGAGCATAACAGAATGAAACTCTGAAACAGCATTCTAGAACAAAAGTTCTTAGCCGAGTTGGGAGAAGTGTTCATGGAAAGAATTCAGCAAACAGAAAAAATGGGTATCTATCTATCCATCTATCTAGGTGTTTTGAGACACGGTTTTCCTGTATAGCCCTGGACACTGGAACTCACTCTGTAGACCAGGCTGGCCTCAAACTCAGAAATCCGCCTGCCTCTGCCTCCCAAGTGCTGGGATTAAAGGCATGCACCCCCAAGCCTGGCTCTCCAAACTTTTAGTAAATGTGTTTGGCAATATAAGAAGTAATTCAGGTGGTGCCTGTGACTTTATCAGAGGACTTTGCTGGTCCTTGGACACAAATGACAGAGGATACAGACAGATGACTTTCTACACCATCCAGTGTCATCACACAGGAGTCCTGGTAGTTACCAGACTCGCTGCTCAGTCAGACTACTGAAAAATTTAGCATAACTGACTGTTTCTAACCCTGTGCGTTCTGTGTGTCTGTGAAACATTATTCACCCAAAAGACTTCCATACTGACAGTAGCAAATGGAGTCTGACCAGAAACTTGTTTTGAGTTCATGACAAGAGACTGATACTGTACATGTAAGCTCTGTGGAATTGAGGACATGCAAGCTCTGTGGGGGAACAAGTGGAGCAGCTTACCCGTAACAGATGCTTTACAGTTTAAATGCTTTAAAAGCCATCCTACGGGCTGGAGAGATGTCTCAGTGGTTAAGAGCACTGAATGCTCTTCCAGAGGTCCTGAGTTCAATTCCTAGCAACCACAGGGTAACTCACAACCATCTGTAATGGAATTGATGCCCTCTTCTAGTGTGTCTGAAGACAGCTACAGTATACTTATATACATAAAATTAATTAATTAATCAATCAATCTTGTAAATTAAGAAAAAACAAGCCACCCTACACCCAGCTTTCCTTTAGCCCTGTTCTCATCACCATAAACCAAGTCACAAGCTACAGTGGCTGAAAGATACCTCCAGCAACCATCTTCAGTACCAGGCTTTGTTTATTCAAGGAAGAATTTAGAAAGGTGTACAGTTTGTATTGTTTATAAAAGCTAACTAATATTTCTTGTTTGTTTATTTGTTTTCAAGACAGGGTTTGTCTGTGTAGCCCTGGCTGCCCTGGGACTCACTCTGTAGACCAGGCTGGCCTTGAACTCACAGAGATCTACCTGCCTCTGCCTCCCAAGTACTGGGATTAAAGGCTAATTAAGATTTTTATATTCTGAGAAAGTAAATAAACCTAGATTAGTATTATTTTTATCTTTAAAACAGTATCAAAGTTAGGTGTGGTCATACATGCTTTTAATCCCTAACACCCTGTACCCAAGAGGCAGAGGCAGGCAGATCTCTGTGAGTTTGAGGCCAGTCTTATCTACATAGTGAGTTTCAGGACAGCCAGTGCTACACAGAGAAACTCTGTCTCACTAACAAAACTCAACGAAACTTAATATTAAACTAATAACCTTGCTTGCAGGGTTATTCGGATTCACTTCACCTGGCTGTGAGAATAACTTAGGGTGACGGAACTGTCTGGAAGAAGGCATTAGTTTTCTAAATGAGCTCCCCTAGACTTCCCGAGTGCCCCCTTAAAGGCCCCCATCTCCATCGCAAGGGGAGCACATTCACCCTGTGATTGAAACAGAGACAGCTCTGTGGTTAAAAGCATATACTGCTCTTGCAAAAGACCAGAGTTCAAGTCCCACAAAATCCTACAATGGAGTTACAAACAAACAAACAAACAAACAAACAACAACCACCACCACCAACAACAAAAACCCCACAAAGCTCTTTTAGGAGCTAGATATGGAGAGACGGCTCAGTGGTTAAGAGCATTTGATGCTCTTCCAGAGGACATGGGTTTAGTTCCAGCCCCGCATGGTGGCACATGATTGCTTTCAACTCCAGTTCCACAGGATCTACCTACCTCTTCTGGCCTCTGAGGGCACTTGCACACACGTGGTACACCCACATACACCCAGTCCCACAGACATACACATAAAATAATAAAATAAAATAAACCTAAAGCCTCATTCAAATGCAACCATAGGGGAAGACGAAAGGAACCCCAAAATCCCACAATCCTCCTGTCAAGTCATTCACATGATACGCCCTCAATCTTGAGGGAACACACTCTCACTCCCAAGGAGGCAGGAACAAAGTTAGGAAACCCAAACCACATTTTGCTTGCAATCGTTGTTCAGGGAAGCTGTAAGGTGTCCTTCTTTGCAGTTCTGCATTTTATTTCTACATAAATGAACTTCCAACCAGCTCTTCCAAGGCAGTTAACATAAACCCTCATCCCATGATGCTTACAATCTAACCATGGCTGAACAATGGCCCCTGGGAAAAACTCAGAAGGGGGCTGAAGGCTGAGGTCTGGCCCATCTTACATAGCTTCACTCCTACGTGGTTTAGGGCACATGAGTCTGTTAGGCCTGGAGTGTTCCTGCTGAGCTAGCTCTCCAACCCTGTACAACCTGCTCTGAATTTAGCAAAAACATTTTCTTACTTAAGAGTCCTCTGTATAAAAACAACACCCTGCATGGATTGGGAACAATCACCTAAGCGCCGTAAACAAAGCCACTGCACAGACTGTTCCTGTGGGACCTCCAGCATAAGCAGGAGCTAGTGAAATAACAACCGTCGAATGAATACTTCAGGTTGACTACACTTAATTCTTGGACACTAAGAATATTTCTTCCTTATAGAAAAGCACAAGGTGGTAAACTCGCATAACCACTCCATCATGTCATAATGATATTTTAGCAAATTTTTGGAGATTAGGGGTCTGCCGAGATGACAGCAGTTAAAAGCACTCACTGTTCTTGCAGAGGTCCTGGGTTTGGTGATGTGAACCTACTTAAGGTTGTGTGTAGCTCACACACAACCACTGTAACCCTAGTTCCGGGGGACCTGGGCCCCCTTCCAGCTTCTCCAGACTCCTGTATGCACATGGTCTCACACATTTACACATAAAATAAAAATAAGTAAATAATTTTTAAAAAGAACTGATTATCCATTTGTATTACCATTGTTGCTGCTTACAACTGTGCTTTTGAGGTGAACAAAAAAAAAAACTGTCAATAATATCAAACTAAGTGAACAAAATTGAGAGAGGAGAAACTTTCATTAAATATTTCTGTATTGCTTGAAATCTTTTACGAGAGAAAGGTTTTCTCTATCAGGTGATCAATTGAGTATTCAGTAAATATGTTTCTGTTATTGCTGAATCAACCGCAAAATGCAAAGAATACAGAGAATATAATCCTTGTCCTTAAGGGTCAAACCACGCCTCCCCATGCTCCTTTCTGTTGCACAGCCGAGGTACACTCGGCACATTCCATCACCACTGCCTGATCAATGCTGCTCTCCAAACGCTTCCAGTCACGTGACCATAGTGCATATTAGTCCCCATGAGTGCCTGATGCGGTGGAGGTCAAAAGAGAGCAACACATCCCCTGGAACTGGAATTGTGGATGGTTTTCAGGTGCCATGTAGGTGCTGGAACTGAACCTGGGTCCTATGTAAGAGCAGCCAGCGTCCTTAGCCACTGCCAGCCCAGGATTTAGCCACCGTTTATCCAGCCCTACAACAAGCTTTACACCAGTTTCATCCTAACAGCGATTTCCATGAAGCAAATGTTAATGTCTCTGAGCTGGAGCCTGCGTAACCGGATTGAGTAATTCTCAACGGAATGGCAGAACTGTGCGAACCCAGGACTACCCCACCTTAAAGCTGGGTGTCCCTCGCCACCGTGCAGCCCCTCCCTGTTCCAGAAGCCACCAGAGCAAGGAGAGCAGAGGAAGGTGCAGAGTATACACAACCTTTGCAAGGCTGATCACGTCCCCCAAACAATGTACCTAAAGGAAACTGTTCTCTTTAAGTCCAGGCCCTCAAAACAATGACTGACTCGCCCTCCTATGGGCATAATCGATATACACCTCTCGTGGTTTTTTCTCAGGAAGTTGATGGTTTGAGGATTATTTGTAATCGAGGAAAGGAGGGACTTGCATGTGCTGCTGTGCACGTATGGATGTCAGAGGACAATTTCAGGTGTCACACCTTGCCATCCACAGTCCTTAAGGGAGGGTCTCTTATTCACCATATAAGAGGGTCTATGCCAGGCTAGCTGGCCTCTCTCAGAGCTTCTCATTGAGTTACACGAGCACTGGGATCACAGACACCTGCTAAGTCCTGCTTTGTATGGTTTTGAGGATCCAAACTCTGGTCCTCGCACCTACACATCCACTTCATCCACTGAGCCGTCTCCCCCAACCTGCTGTCTGGCTCTTTCAGGGAGAAGTACCTAAGTTGGCAGGGCTCCCAAAGGGCTTCTATTCCAGATGAGACACCCTGCCAATTTCTGCATCTCGCGCGCATGGCTGTTCCTGCTCCTGGTCTCTGCATCTCGCGCGCATGGCTGTACCTGCCCATTCTTTACAAACTGCACGTCCGCCGTCAGATTTCGTAAGGTATTTCCAAAAGGATAGTCCAGGTTCCGGCCATGATAAATACGGCCTTGGGAGTCTTGGGCCACGATACTGGTGCAGAATCTGAGCAAAGGAAAAGCCCAACATGAATGAAGGCAACAAAAACAAAGACAGTGAGATTTCTGTCTTTAAAACAAATCCTCAAAGCATCAGGTTTTCTTGCTTATCGCAAGCATAAATGCTATAATATGCTCTTATACAAGAATATGGAACTACAGTTCCAGCCAGAAAATACAACTGGACACAACGCATCTAGACCCTGTCATTGGCCCACCGGATGCTGATATGTATGGGTATACCAAACAAGACTTTCGTCTTCCCGGGCGGTGGTGGCACACGCCTTTAATCCCAGCACTTGGGAGGCAGAGGCAGGTGGATTTCTGAGTTCGAGGCCAGCCTGGTCTACAGAGTGAGTTCCAGGACAGCCAGGACTACACAGAGAGACCCTGTCTCGAAAAAAACCAAAAAAAAAAAAAAAAAAAAAAAGAGTTTCATCTTCCCTTATGTCCCGTGTGTATGCAGGGCACAGCTAGACTTCTGAACTCTATTCATCCCTCTGCTTGCTGCTATGTTACCTATTAACACATTATTATATAACTCAATTAGCTAGCCCAAGCTACCCTGTCCCCATTATTGTTAGAGCAAGTACACACACACACACACACACACACACACACACACAAATACTAATTAAAATAACTAAGAGGAACTCCAAGTTGGGCATAATGACAAAAGTCTTTAAACCCAGAACTTGGGAAGCAGAGCCAGGTAGATTTCTGTGAATTTGAGGCCAGCCTGGTCTACATAGACAGTTTCCAGACCAGACAGGGCAATCCTGTCACAAAAATCAATCTATCAATCTTTTAAACAAGCTTTTCTGTATTACTGATTTTCTGTAATGATCCAAGATTACTTTTTAAAAAAAATTTAAATTTAATTTAATTTTAAAATCAATGTTACATTTATAATTAGGAAAAAACAAGTATTACCTCATTGGTTTGTCTAAAGAAGAAATTTTGGTGATGTTTCAATTCTTAAGGTTTCTGATCTGGGCCTGGAAGGCTCACGTAGGGTTGGGGACCCAGGTGAGTTGGTGAGTGGTTAACATTTGTAGAAGTGGTCTCAAAGTTGATATTTTCTAAATGGTGGCAAGGTGACTATCATTTCCAAATCATTTTTGGGCGTGCCCTGGGACTCACCTTCTAGACCAGACTTGCCTCAGACCCTTTTTCCCAAGTGCCAGGATCAAAGGCATACACCACCATTCTGGCTTGCAAATCTTTCAATGTGACCTTTCCTACAGGAGCACAGGGGACAAGGACATGCGTCCGCTTTGGGCATGGGGAGACTTGTGCTGAGCAGCACTGGAGCTCACCAGCTCCGTCCCTCCGAGGCTTGGTTTCCTCATCCTAACAGACAATACCACCTTCCCCACAGGGCTGTGCTTCTAGGCAGCTGCGGCCAGGAAGACTCAGTAGTTAGTGCACAGTCAGCACTCACACACACCCAGCCTTCATGAGGGAGAACAGAGCATTTCCTACCTGAACCTGAGGGCGCTTTAAAAGGAAAATTAGGCAGTTTAAGAAACACTGTAATCCGAGATACAACATTAGAATCGCTTTACCCGAACGTTTGCTTTAATCTGCTTGCATCACAGACTTGGTGAGAGATGCTCTGATTTTTTCATTTAGTAAGCCAAAAGAGAGGACGCCGTTGGAAGTCGAGGAACAGGATAGTAAGGTTAACTGAGTCCCTTTTGAGCACATGAGTTGAGCAGAAGCTCCTTCCCCCAGGAAAGGCAATTCAAATGCTTCTTAGGAACTGTGCTCCTCTGAGTTTGGGAGGTTGCCATAGAACCATTTGTCATTCCAAGAACTTCCCCACCTTCATCTCTTTAAAAAATATCTTTAATTAATTAGTTAATCAATTTTTGAGTAGGGGGAAACAGGGTTTCTCTGTGTAACAACCCCCTGGCTGTCCTGGAACTTTGTAGACCAGACTGGCCATGAACTCAGAGTTCGAGTGCCTGTCTCTGCCTCCCGAATGCTAGAATTAAAGGCATGTACCACACACACACACCTCCGGGCTGCAGGGGTGACCTTCCTTCTTCTTAAGGTAGCCAAAAAGCTATAAGCACCTACTAGATGTCCATGCAGACCAACAAATTGGGAAAAGATCTTTACCAATCCTACATCTGATAGAGGGCTAATATCCAATATATACAAAGAACTCAAGAAAGTAGACTCCAGACAACCAAATTACCCTATTAAAAAATGGGGTATAGAGCTTAACAAAGAATTTTCAATGGAAGAAACTCGAATGGCCGAGAAGCACCTAAAGAAATGTTCAGTGTCCTTAGTCATCAGGGAAATGCAAATCAAAACAACTCTGAGATTCCACCTCACACCAGTCAGAATGGCTAAGATTAAAAACTCAGGTGATAGTAGATGCTGGCGAGGGTGTGGAGAAAGAGGAACACTCCTCCATTGTTGGTGGGACTGCAAGATGGTGCAACCACTTTGGAAATCAGTGTGGCAGTTCCTCAGAAAATTGGACATAGCATTACCTGAGGATCCAGCTATACCACTCCTAGGCATATACCCAGAAGATGCTCGAACATATAACAAGGACATATGCTCAACTATGTTCATAGCAGCCTTATTTATAATAGCCAGGAGCTGGAAAGAACCCAGATGTCCTTCAACTGAGGAATGGATTCAAAAAATGTGGTATATTTACACAATGGAGTATTACTCAGCTATTAAAAACAATGAATTCGAGAGGTTCCTAGGTAAATAGATGGAGCTAGAAATTATCATCCTGAGTGAAGTAAGCCAATCACAAAAGAACACACATGGTATTCACTCACTGATTATTGGATATTAGCCCAGAACCTTGAAATGCCCAAGATGCAGCTCACAGGCCACATGAAGCTCATAAAAAAGGAAGACCAAGTGGGGGTGATTCAGTTCTTCTTAGAAGGAGCAACAAAATACTCAAGGGAACAAATATGGAGACAAAGTGAGGGACAGAAACTGAAGGAGGGGCCATTTGAAGACCTTTCCACCTGAGTATCCATCCCATGTGCAGTCACCAAAGGTAGATGCTGATGTGGAAGTCAGGAAGTGCATGCCGATAAGGGCCTGATATGGATGTCTCCTCAGAGGCCTTCAAGAGTCTGACATATTCAGAGGCAGATGCTCACAACTAGCCATTGAACTGATCATGAGGTTCTCAATGGAGGAGTTAGAGTGAGGACTGAAGGAGCTGAAAGGGTTTGTAGCACCATGAGGAGAGCAACAATACCAACCAACCACAGCTCCCAGGGTCCTAACCACCAGCCCTGGAGCACTTATGGAGGGATCCAGGGCTTCAGCTGAATATGTAAGAGTGGAGGGCCCTGCTGGGCACAGGTGGAAGATGAGATCTTTGACCTCATGAAGGCTGGATGCCCCAGGGGGTGGGAATTTTGAGGGTGGGGAAGTGGGAGTGGGGGGGGGTAGGTGGGGGTTACATCCAAGGAGAAGAAGGAGGAGGGGTAAGGGGGTGGGGGTTCCCGGATGGGTGGAGGATGGGGTAAGGGGACAACATATGAAATGTAAATAAAATATCCAATAAAAAAAAAGAAAAAAAAAAAAAAAGATGTCCATGCAGGGTGGGAAATAAGTGTAGCACTTCATAGTGCAAGCACTGTGGAGGCTGAGGCAGCGGGATCAACAGTAGGAGGCCAGTCTCAGTCACACAGGGCAACTCTGACTCAGCAAACAAACAAAGCAATCATCTGAAAGGCAGAAACCTTGGCGGTCCTCTCTTCACCCCAGGACCTATTGCTGAATCTACAAACATGTAAGGATCCTCCTGCCCTCTGCCTAGGATGGAACCTTCCACATCGATGGGGGTATAGGGTACCCAGAGTCCTCTGTGACTTAGCCCCCCTCGAAAGCAGACTCCGAAAGAGCAGTGTGAGAATGAGCACAGCATGGTCGCAGTGAGGACCACACCAGGGGCTAAGGAGAGCCTCACATAAAGGAAAGGTGAGCCCACTGCAGGGTCACAGCAGGAGAGTGTGTGAAAAGAATATAGTTCCAAAAACTTCTTGGACAGTGTGTTTTGAGCAGGGTTTTGGGGGATGGTTGGGTAGATTTGCACCTTTCTGTAACCTGTGGATGCCAGAGGACAACGGGATCTTCCTCTACTGATTTTCTATCGTATTTATATTTGCGTGGGAGAGAGGAGTGTGCATGTGTCACAGCGTGCTTCTGGAGGTCAGAGGACAAGCAGCGGGGATCAATTCTCTCCTGCCATGAGATTGACCTCACGAGCTCATACTGGATAAGCACTCTTAACCCACCAGGCTATCTCTTCGGCCTTCCACTTTACCTTTTGGAGAGATTCTCCTATTGAACTTGAGGTGACAAGCTCCCATAATCCCCCTCTCTTCTCCCACCCCAATGATTGGGTTACAGGCACATGGGGTATACCAGCCAGGGATCTGAATTCAGGTCCACTCTATCGACAGCAGGCACTGTTATCTACATACCCTTCTCCCCAGCTCTTGAGTAGTTTTTTCGAGGTCGCCTCACAAACTACTCAGATATCGATCTCAGGCAAACAGAAGCCCTGTTTGTTTATCTTTTTTATTGAACACACACCCCAAAACTGATCAATCAGGGATACAGTCTTAACTCAGGAGCTGAACTGTGACCACCAGCCAGAATCCTATAGAGCTTTTAAGCCTGAAACCACAAACATCTGTGTTAAGTTATTCCACCATGGATATAGGGGTAGGGAATTTCCCTAGGAACATGTCCCACATTTATCCTGTTCTCATTGGTTGGGGTATTCAGCTATGGTGGGGGACTTGCCTTGCCTAACATCCATGTCTTAACTTTTCTACCAGGATGTCCATGTCTCTTTCTGTCTAGTACGACATCAATTCCCAGGGAGGTCTTAGGGACTTAAACTTTATTCTATCCCTACTCAAAATGGAAGTCTTATCCCAAATAGCTTCTTATATTGGGTGCAGGTGTCTCTTTTATATTGGGGTCCCTCCCAGGAGCAGTTTATAAAGGCAAGAAGCCATAAAAACTCATACATAGGTGCTGCTGGGTGGTTGGTTCTGGTGCAAGCTTATTGTGGCAAACTGTACAAAGGAGTTCTAACTGCCCTCTATTGTGATTGGTTTCCAAGAACACCAAGACACAGAACATAACAGAATAGGCAACCAGCTCAGGCACGAGAGAGTTTCCCAGTAGCAGCACTTGATAAAGTGTCCTTACATCATTAGTAACAGTGCACAACGCCTGGCCAGACAGGCAACAGTTCCAAGGCCTTGATAGTTTGGAAAGTGAGATGCTTTCTAGATCGCTGACGAGATAAAAGTAGGCTTTTCATAGAGAGCAGCCGCTCACCTCTGGAAGTCCTCCAGACACATGCTGCTCTGATTTCCCTGGGGAGTCAGAGACCTAAGGTGACTTCCAAACTGCAGTCATTATCTTGTCTTACCTATCTCAAAGCAAACGTATCTCCTCCATTCATTGTGGGTGCCATGAGTCCCCAATAGGTGACAATTAATTGACTTTAACCCATCCTAGCATGGGGCACTTACGCCGAAGCCTCATAGGCCAGATTGACCAAGATACCATCGGCCAGGCTGAGGTTGAGGAAGTCACAAATGCCGCGGATCTCGTCAGTGAAGGGCTGAGGCAGGAAGTTCTCCACCTTCCACACGATTTCCCCGATCGTCTTGAGTACCCACTGGGGAACTCTGTTGCTAGAAAGGAAACGCAGGGAGCTTGTTTCTCCTCTCGGAGTATGGACAGGGCTTCTGTGCGGGGACGACGGGAGAGGAATGTTAAGAATCTAGGTTATTTTCAGAGCTGAATCACTGCTGTGCTGCTCCATTCCCAGCGTCCAAACCGGAGGGAACAAACCTGGGCACGATAGTGCAGGGCTGTAATCCTAGCTACTCAAGAGGCCGAGGCAGGAGGATTGTAAGTAAGGGCAGCTTACGTTTCACAGCGAGATTTTCTTTCTTTCTTTTCTCCATCATAACATTTCTATTCTATTCTATTTTGGAATTTCATACAATGCATCCCAGTCACACGCTTCCTATTCCTCTCGGGTCCACTCTCCCACCTTTGCCCCACCCCCTAAAAAACAAACAAACAAACAAAAAACAAAACAAAAACAAATCACCAAATCCAATTTATGTTGTCCATATACTCACTAGAGTATAGTCAAACTCCCAGCTTCCAGCGAGTCCCTCGAAATGAAAATTATAAGGGCTGAGATACACTCAATGGTAGAGCAATCAATCATCGCTACCTCCAGTGCTAACCTCCATGGAGAGGAAGGCCAGCCAGGCTGCTCAGGGACGAGGAGGCTCGTGGACTGCACGTCCTACGCTGCAGCTTAGCATACTAGGTGATACCTTGTACGTTACCCTGACCCGGAAAACCTACGGTAGACGTGCGTGCCACCAAAGACTCCCCCAAACTTGAGAGCCGAACCGGCCTTGCTGTGTCAGCCACCTACTGGACGCTGCACAGAGCAGTGGGGAGGATAGCGAGGCAGCGGTGAGAGGGCAGGGGTGCAGCACCAGGAAAGAGCAGAACCCGGTTGCAAGTTCACTGGACCTGTCCAGCGCTCACCCAATGACCTGCGCCACCGCGGCGCGCACGAAGTCTGGGTCGTAGTGCCGCAGCAGCGGCAGCCAGCGCTGCTCCGGGGCCGCGTCCAGACTGACGTTGAAGAGAGGTGGAGTCTCGGGGACGACAGCCGACAGCCATGGACCCGACAGCGACAGCAGCAGCAACAGAGCCAGGGCCAGGTGTGCCCCATAGCAGGCGGCCCGGGTGGCTAGGGTCCCCATGGCTCGGACTGCTGAGGCCACCACCCGACCAATGAGCTTTTGCTGTGCTGGGGAGGCGGTGTGGGAGGCATGGGGTGGTGCTAGCACTGAAGGCGGGGCCTGCGCTATGTCGCTCCAACCGGTCAGGAACCCAAGCACTGACACCGCCTCCCGTCCCAGCGGGATCAGGCGGGTTTCTCACTCACAGCTAGTGTCAGTGTCACACCTCTGTGGGCTAAGAGTGTGAGCTTTGGTGTGTATGTAGTGTGTAAAAGGCTAGGAATGGATGTAGTTATAATCTGGTGATTTGTGCTACATGTAGGGCCAGGCCTCGCCCGAGCCCCCACCCCCTACTCTATGTCTATCTTAGATTTCCCAGACTCCTTAGCATTGTTTCTGTCTACAGAACCTATCCTTAGGGGAGATGTCACATGTACTTTGTAGTTTGGTGACTCTGAAATATGTATGACCAAGACCACATCTGATCCTGCCCAAGGCACTTACGATGCTGTAAGCTTTATTGTGCACATGAGATTGAGATCATTGTTACCAGGAAATTTCTTTTTCCCAAAATTGGGCTGTATTTAAACTCCTGAAGAACTTAAACTCCTAAACTGCCCAGTGTCCGACTCTGAACCAGCGCCGGTGTACTGGCTGGTTCTGTGTCAACTTGACACAAGCTAGAGTTGTCAGAGAAGGAACCTCAGTTGAGGAAAATGCCTCCATGAGATCCAGCTGTAAGGCATCTTCTCAATTAGTAATCAATGGGAGAGGGCCCACCCCTTTGTGGGTGGTGCCATCGCTGGGCTGACGATCCTGGGTTCTATAAGAAAGCAAGTTGAACAAGCCAGGATCATGCTAATAAGCAGCACCCCTCCATGACGTCTGCCTCAGCGTCTGCTTCCAGGCTCCAGGATCTGGTTCCAGGTTCAAGCCCTGCTTGAATCTGTCCTGATTTCCTCCAGTGATGGACTGTGATCTGGAAGTGTAAACCAAATATCGTGGTTTGTATATGCTTGGCCCAGGGAGTGGCACGATTAGAAGGTGTGGCCCTGTTGAAGTAGGTGTGTCACTGTGGACGTGGACTTTAAGACCCTCATCCTAGCTCCCTGGAAGTCAGTATTCTGCTAGCAGCCATCGGATGAAAACATAGAACTCTTAGCTCCTCCTGCACCATGCCTGCCTGGATGCTGCCATGGTCCAGCCTTGATGATAATGGACTGAACCTCTGAACCTGTAAGGCAGCCCCAATTAAATGTTATCATTTATAAGACTTGCCTTGGTCATCACGGTGTCTGTTCAGAGCAGTAAAACCCTAACTAACACAACTAAATGTAACCTTTTCCTCCCCAACTTGCTTTTTGGTCAAGGTGTTTTGTAGCAATAATAAAAACCCTAACTAAGACAACTGGCTACTGAGTCGAGGTGAACAGGATTCCTTCTTGCCTGACACATTGTTTCACTGCTGGCTGTAGCATTTGCAGAGACCCACACATGGCTCTAAACAACAGAAGATCTAAACGCGTTTTTAGCAGAAAAAAAAATTATGAATGGTTGAATAAAGAATGCAACATTTGAAAAGATGGGAAATTCATTTATGAAGAATTTAATGCTGAGCCTGGGGAGATACCCTTCTTGGAAAAGTACCTACTGCACAAACATGAGAAAACCTGACTCTGGATCCAGCACCCACGTGAAAAGCCAGGCCTGAGATCCCAGTGCCAGGGAGGCAGAGAGCGAAGGACCCCAGGCCAGTCCACCCCAAAGGCCTCTTGCTGAGATGGAATTAAACTGCATATACAGTTTACTCAAATTAGTGAGCGCCATGTTCAGCAAGAGAGTGACCCTGCCTCAGAAAAAAGCAATGGAAAATAACAAAGACACCTGATGTCAGCCTCTAGTCTCCATGTGCACACACACACACACACACAAACAAACAACCACCACACAACCCAAAGATGGAAGCTAATGCTAAGTTACAGATAGCAAAAGCATACATTGATACTCTTTATGGCAAATTTTAAGATACTAAATAATACTGTGATGAACACACACATGAACACACACACATGAGCACACACACACACATGAGCACACACACACACACACGAGCACACACACACCTGAAGATTGGCAGCTCTTGAGGGAGGGGTCATGGTGAATGCTTCAGTTCCACTCTTTGGTTTTCTTCTTACACTGAATTTCCTCTCTGTAAGGCAGGCTCTCCGTATGTAGTACATAGCCCAGGCTGGTCCCACCCTCCTGCTCCTCCCGCTTGAGCCCCATGTACTGGGATTACAGGTGTGCACCATGATGCCAGCCTCTCATGCTTACACACACACACACACACACACACACACACAAACACACACACACGTCAGGGTATTAACATTGGATTGGTAAGTGTCTTCTCGTGCTTTATATTTGTATGTTAAAAAGTCATGGATATAGAATGTTTTTATCTTTTTTAAAAAAGGAAGGTTCAAGTACCCCTGAAACAGGAAGTTGGGGTGAGTGCATTTACCCCTAATTTTCTTCCCGAGCCATTTCTTTAAACTTTTGCTCTTGAACCTTTCCAAGAATGGCACTTCCCATTTTGCCCTTTGGTTTTACTCCTTGGCCCAGTTTCCTTTTAAGGCCTCTTTGATGCTGGTTTAGGACTAGCAGGCCCACCCCAACTACTTCTTGCTGAGACGGACCTAGAGCTTTTCCTAGTTCTGCAAAGGATACTTTGTATAAATATGTAAAATACAAATTATCAAAATGTCTAAAGCAGAGAAAGAGAAGCCACTCAGATATATTCTTTCCACTCACATCCCGCAACGGGGTTTCACATGGCCATTTTATTTATAAAAGAAACACTATGACTGTATGTGCCTAAAGGGAAAATTGTCATTTAAAGTGTGACATGTTTTCTTACCAGTACTGTTTGCATTCAAAGAGCTCTGTGCCGGGAGCCAGCCCCGGCTTGGTGGGAGGAGAAGGTGGTGATCTTTCTTCTCCTCCAGTCAGTTGGTTCTTCTTGAGGCAGCCAAGGGGGATGGGAAGAGCATAGGCAATGGGTAAGACCTAGGGTTAGGCTACTGTAGCTGGCCTGCCCTCTGGTGTCCTCTGTCCAGAAACTGCAGTTTCTGGCACTTAACACCTCAGCCCAGGGACAGCAGAGAATTAGGCAAATATCCTTAGTACTCTCTCTGCAGGCACTGCCAGGCTCTAACTTAGGTCTGTTGGTTTGAGGTCACAGCAAGAAAAGACACTTAAAGAAGTTATTGTACTTTATTACTAAGTATAAAAAGTTTCCTATGAAAGCTAGCTGAGAGACAAAGTAGGGAAAGGTAAAAAATTCTAACAAAGGAAAAATTCTAAGTGGAGAGAATCTAAGCAGGGAAGAAAGAAGAAGGGAGAGAGGAGAGAGAAGAGGGAGAGAGAGAAAGTGAGAGAGAGAAAGTGAAGTGAAGTGAAGTGAAGTGAAGTGAAGTAAAGTGAGGAAGAGAAAGTGAATCCCTAACGAACGTCCCTTTGTCTTATACATCATTCAGAGTACCTGATCACATGTTACAAAGTTCATCACAAGTTCACACCACTTCCACCGGAGGCCTACACGCCACCGTCTGTGCCGCCGCCATGTCTCTAGTGATCCCCGAAAAGTTCCAGCACATCCTGCGAGTACTCAACACCAACATCGATGGGCGGTGGAAAATAGCCTTCGCCATCACTGCCATTAAGGGCATGGGGTGGAGATATGCTCATGTGGTGTTGAGGAAAGCAGACATTGACCTCACCAAGAGGGCTGGAGAACTCATGGAGGATGAGGTGGAGCGGGCCATCACCATCATGCAGAACCCACGACAGTACAAGATCCCAGACTGGTTCTTGAACAGACAGAAGGATGTGAAGGATGGGAAGTACAGCCAGGTTCTGGCCAACGGTCTAGACAACAAGCTCTGGGAGGACCTGGAGCGGCTGAAGAAGATCCGAGCCCACAGCGGGCTGCGCCATTTTGGGGGCCTTCGTGTCTGCGGTCAGCACACCAAGACCACTGGCCACAGGGACCGTACTGTGGGTGTATCCAAGAAGAAATGAGTAGTCTCTGGGCATTTGTTGTTAATAAATAGTTTATATACCTATGGAAAAAAAAAACAAGTTCACACCAAAATTCAAATCATAAATTGAAATAGAAGTTTACAACAGGGAATGTTTACATGCATATTCATTAGGAGTAATTATCTGACTAAACATCCATCACCTGTCTAGCTCCACAGGTTCGCTGAAGGTTTAAAACTATAACTAAGAAATTAGTGAAGTTTTGTATAGATAAACCCAGGCAATATTTTCTCTTCTGTCCTAGCACCTATAATAAATCGTGAGTTCCCTTTTAGTGACCCTTGGTTAATTGTTTTACAACCACCTTGGAATGTGCTCTGAGCAGGAGAGAGTCTGGTTACTATCTAAGTGCTGTTAACTGATGACACTTTGGAGACTGGCAGAGTTCTCATAGCAGTTTTGACTACCAGAAAGGGACATAATACCAGTCCCACTATAAAAAGAGCTAAATAATCATTGATATAATTTTAGGAATTCTTATAGGATCATCATTAAGACTTAAGAAGTTGTCTATGTGTCTATATAGCATCACTACAAGACAGTACATCTTCGTGGGTCTGCAGAGATCTGCTCCAAAGGGGAGTGCTATTGCTTAGTGATTGTTACATATGCTTAATAATAATAATAATAGGAAAAGCATATTAATAGCAGGATCTTTCCTAAAATATGTCCAGCATAGCCTTGCTGATGTGGCACACTTGTCACAGATAATAATCCGAGGCAAGCATTTCAGGATGATCAACTGCTAATTATTAGCTTGTCCTATTATGGCTCCTGACACTCTTGTACATTAAAAAATTAAAATTAAGATATTGCTTAAGCTTCTTTGCATTCTGGGTTAATTTTCCCGAGTTGCCATACGAGTTGATGGAGACATCAATGTTTCCACACTACCCTCTGTGTCATAAGGATCTATGTTCCACCCCACAGCTGGGATATGGAAAAACACTGCAGGGCAGACTCGGAGATGTTAACTGTGTTTATCCTGCACTACAGCTGTTGGGTACAGGGCTTGAGCGAAGCACCAAGACACCCCTGGGGGGGAAAAATGCCCATTAAGATATGGGAGGCTGAAGCTGGGGTTCCCTGACTACTGAGCATCCAGTCACTGCTGGAAAATCACACAGAGGAGTTGGGAATGAAGGCTTGGAGGTTCATGGGCCTGTGATGAAGAGCCTGGGACCAAGAGCTCCCAAACTCCTGGACATCCGGGTGCTACTTGGCCACAGGAAGTTGGGAACGGAGTTGGGGGCCCTCGATCTGAGGAAGATGAGATCAGGGCAGGGGGACTGGGAATTCTGGCTTAGCTCATTGGCTTGACATCCTTAGCTTGACAGCAGTGGTCTGGGAGCACACAGAGGCCTTCTGCAGGAGACTTAGGCTGCAGCTCGGTAGCTGAAGGCTTTCTCCGTGTTCCATGTTTATCCATACTGTTTATTAACTGTTCATAGTGGAAAAATGGGTACATACTGTCTTCTCAGGGTGGACTTGAGATTAAATACCTTCTGCAGGAAGGAATGTCCAGGAAGGGGAGCTCATTGGCTAAACCCTCAGGACCTAGATACCTCATTAGCATGGAGAACTCTGTTCTAGGATATGTGACCACAGGTCACATTTCCTATGTGGGAAGTGTGGCATATGTTCCAGGCCAGGAATCTAGTAGGGGGCAGTGAGATGCCTACCGTCTCATGTGGGTGCCTGGGTGCTGGGGCCTTGGACCCACTCAACCGTACCAAGTTTCCTGGCATGGTCCACTGTCCCATAATTTATATATGTAATATATATGTACATATATTATAGACATATGCTGCTTTAAAAACACTTTTTTTTTTACATTACTAGTGTTTATACCTCATGTGTATATTTTGAGACAGGGTGTGTGTAGCCCAGGCTGGCCTTTAAATTCTCTATCCCTTCAACCCCAGCCTCATGAGTACTGGGATTATAGGTGGGTACTACACATCCAGCTTGTCTCTTAGCTTAAAATAACGTTCCCTAACAACTGTTCCTTGGGCATGAGATGTTCCGCACAGCCTCACTAGCTGGTGGTGGTGTTTCTGGAGCTGAGGACTTTAGGAACTGGGGGTCGGGGTCCTGGGCTGAGGTATATTGGGGGCTTGAGGCTTTTGTTCTATCTTCTGGTTCCTAGAGATGAGGAGTCTTAGTCACATAGTGGCTCCAGGGAGTTTCCTCCTGCCATGCCTCTCTCCACAAAGGATGTATTCCTTCACACTGGGAACCAAAGTGAGTTTTTCCTAAGTTGCTTCTTGCCAGATATTTAGTCACAGCAAAAAGAACATAACCAATCTTCCACCTAACTATAGTGTGTAGTATCGTCCACAGTTTAGAGATGTGTATCTATTCCTGTCATTTAATAGTACAATGTGGTGATCACTTTCCCCCAAGCTGTGGCAGACGCCAGTCATGTTCCATTTACTTCCTCCTAGCTAGAAAGCAGCTCAGTTCTGTTGGGATGACTGTGCAGTCAGAAGCCAAGAGCCCTACTTCCCGCCTTCTCTTAGAAAGGGTGGCCGTGTAACACTCCAGTAGGCTGCAGGGAATTTTGTGGACTGTTTCCCTAGGAAAAGGAGTCAAAGTTGAGACTTAAGTGCTAAAGAAATCAGCACAATGCACTCAGATGAAAACTGGACATATAATGATTGAACCATAGCCGCTCAGCCATGCTGGACCGGCCTCAGCATGCCGAGGCTGACAAAGCAGTTCATGTATCCACACCTAGACTTATGGGAGACAAACTCTTACTTGGTTAGGATATTTAAAATGCACTTTGTGTTACCTGCAGGGAAATGACCACAGATGCATGTTTTCATATAAAGGCTCAGAGAAACAAACTGCAGCTCTTGCCTAGTCGGGTTCATTTTCGCTGAGCTGAAGCTTATGGTTTTGTCTTTAGACTCTTATGTAAACTGTAAGCCATTTTTTTTTTAGAAGAACCATGTTAATAGTTTAAAAAAAGACTAAAAGGCTTTTTTTATGTGTATGGGTGTTTTGCCTGAATGTATGTCTCTCCAATACCGTTTGCCTGGTGCCCTTAAAGAGGGCACTGGATCCCCTGGAGTTACTTAAGTCACCATGTGGGTGCTGGGAGTCACACAGATTGAGCCAGCTCTCCAGCCCCTGTTAATGGTACTTTCGACAACATTGTGTATTGCTGGTAGCGCTCAGACAGGGTCTTTTTTTTTTTTTTTTTTTTGGTTTTTCGAGACAAGGTTTCTCTGTATAGCCCTGGCTGTCCTGGAACTCACTCTGTAGACCAGGCTGGCCTCGAACTCAGAAATACGCCTGCCTCTGCCTCCCAAGTGCTGGGATTAAAGGCGTGCGCCACCAACGCCCGGCTTTCAGACAGGGTCTTAAAAGGATGTTTCTAGACACCAGGATGCCAGGGGAAAGAATGAGGATGGGGAGACAAACATCTCTGAACACTTAAATCCCACTGTGCCTTGGGACTGACAGCACAGGTCCATCCAGGCCTGAAGTATAGCTTGGTGGTAGATCACTTGCTCCAAGGGTCCTTAGCTTGATCCTGGCACCACGGGGGTGGGGGGGCTCCTCCTTCTAATTATGGAGACATTTCACAAGGATGATTTGCCACGCAACTTTATTTCTCACTTCATTTTTGTTTTTTGGTTTCTTACACAATGACATAAGTAAAAACTATACACTGTGAAAGACTCAGAAAGTAGAGAGAAAATACAGTTTATACATGATCCCAGCACCAGCCCTGCCCCCCTAATATTTGGTACATTTTCTGGATGTTTTTAATAACTGCCTACATGTACACTGGACTATGCTACAAATAGTTTTCAAACTTTAACCACTTATACACTGAGATGAGATTGACAAAGTACACAAGCACAATCCGTAGAGACAATGACACAGAGCCTTAAGAAAACTAACAGGAGTCGTGCTGTTTAACTGCTGCTGAGGCTGCTGTGCTCTCGGCTTCCCTTTGCTTCTTTACATGGGTGAAAACCAGAGACGACAGGAAACGCTCTATTCTCTCTCAATTCATATCCCCACCCCACCCCCAAGCCCCTAGACAGGGTTTTGCTCTCTTGCTATGTAGCCCAGACTGGTCTCCACCCAGAGCACTCCTGCCCTGCCTCGTTCTCCCATGTGCTGGGATTACAGGCGTGTATCACCATGCCTGGTCAAGCTTCCTTAAATCTCAAGAAATACACTCCAAACCATACAAGGAATGAGAGGTACTATTTGGGAGACAACATTATCTAGATAGAGTTTAAAAATATGTTACATAAAATAGCGTAACAGGATACTCAGAACAATTAAACATTTTAGTTAAACTAAAATTTCAATGTAATATTCTATATACATTATAAATTTTCAACAAATTAGGAAAGAATAAAAACAAAATTTGTATTAACTGTAACATAAAAATTATACCAACATCACGTCAACTTAACCACAGGACTCAGGAACTGTTTTCTGCAGTGCCAGCCTGCCTACCATGGGCATCAGAAATGCACGCAACAGAAGCCACATGCCCTGAGGTACAATGTGACCCCTAGGTGTGTCTTCTGCGGAGTGGCTGGGTCCTGATGAAGCTCAGCTGGATCTTCATACAGCATGTTTTCCTCAATGGACTAACAGCTTCAACACGACACAAAGACAGCCACAAACATCCAGCAGTGCTTTTATACACAATGCACATTTAATATGGATTTTAAACTAGCTTCCTAAACATTGGGTTTGGTGGTTAAAATAAATATAGCAACTATAACTATAAGGAAAAAAGAAAGAAAAAAAAACTCTCCCCCAAAACACAATTTACTAAATAAGAGGTAGGTGGTCATTTATAGATAGAAACCTTGACAGGCAGGGGTTAATTCACATGTTCAAACAGCTGCTGTGCCCTCTACATCAGAGGAGACACTTAGTTAGCACCAGGGATGCAACAGAGAGCAGGGCTGTCCTGTGTGGTTCTTCTTTACCAGTGAAATTTGCTAATGCCACACACGTGATGTGCTGATATTCTGGATTTACACACCAAGCCCTGGGTATGACCCCTAGCAGCCTAGAAACTGGCCAGGGCAGTGTGTGCCTGAAATCCCAGCAGTTGGGAGGTGAGGGAAAGACTAACAACACAAACCACACAGCAGAGCTGCATCACGAGCCTCCAGCTGCTTTCAGACCTGATGAGCAAGCAGACACCCGTGAAGAACACAGAAGGAAAGCGAAGGGACAGTTTCAGGTCTCACATATACAAATTTGCACTGGCTACTTCCTCCACAGGTCTGCTGGGTAAGGCTGATGGGCAATCCCCTAACAAGTGACCTAGGGCACTGTTGGGGAAAGTAAGGGCTAAATAAATCCAAATCCACCTCAGAAGCAGAACAGAGTGATGGAAAGGAAAGCAAACACCAGCAGCTGTTCTCCAACTGAGGGGCAGAAACTGCCCTTTCCTCTAATGCGAACACGAAGCATTGTCTCATGACAAGATTACCCAAGAAGTCTGAGGCAAAAGGCATCAAACTGTTTCAAACCCAGCAGCCTGCATGCAGACTGGGTCTTGCAATTAAGTTAAATGTGGCAGTAACAGCACACACCACTGTACACACCCACCTGACTACTAACAACATGTCAGCTTTGGCTGAGAACAAGGCAAGGGAACTGGTCAAACCACGTGAAGAGTGGGCACTCAGGGACGGGGTGAAGCTCAGTGGCAGAGCCTGCTCAGGGTAGGCCTGGGGCCCTGGGGCCCTGGGGCGCAGCTCCAGCACAGCAACAGGCAGCAGAGAACCAGCCACTCAGACGACAGCTCAAAGATGGCGTCTGTTCTCAGTTAGGGTCTCATGTAGTTCAGGCTGCCCTGAACTAACTCAGTATGTCAAGCTGGTTCTAAACTCATGAGCCTCCTGCCTTGGCTTCCCAAGTGCTGGGATTATGGGTGTGTACCACCACATCCTGCTAGGTATTTCAAAATCACTATTTAGACTTAAGGCAATTAAAAAAAAAAATTTGGCCTTAGCCAAAACTCTTTACATTTAAAAAAAAAAAAGTGGAGCTCAACTATCCACCCGATTCTGTACAGCAGGAGCCTGCTTGAGCAGGTAAGCCTATTTACAAGTAAGAACCTCTTACTCTTGTAACACTGTCCTGATTGAAGAGCATGAATAACTCCCATCCCTGCAGTCAGTCCAGGAGCCCCAGTGACCCCGGGACTATGGACTAGCTGCTACTCGGGAACTATTTACAGCTTACTATAAACACCCTTTGTACATGGACCCTCAGTCAAGGGCTATGGCTCATTTGGCTACATACGCACAACAATGAGTAGGCACTCAGCACTTCTGTTTGAGTTAGAAGTGAGTTCTTAACATCACTACTATTTACATTTCACATTCCCACCAGCCCCACCTCCCAATCAAAAACACCACACTGCTACAAATGTTACTGTGGTTTACAAAATATAGTGTTCCTTGACTTTTTAATGTAAGTAAATATTTACTGATCTTCGGCATGCTGATACAGCATTGGGCAGGAAATAGTTAACTTGCTGATAAGTTACTTCATTCTTTTCCTCTTTTTCAGAAGTGCATCTCGCAGTGCTAGCTGTAAGAGAAGACAAAGAGCACATCAAGAGTAAGAACCTGTCCCATCAACTATGGTCATCAAGGTTCCAGACAAGAAGAGACCTACAAGAGTAGGCCAACAACTCTCATAGCGATAGCATGTCATAAGATGGCTCAGTGGGTAAAGGTGATTGCTGCCAGATAACATAATCTTACCGTGCGTCACCTGTCATTTCTCTTCAACAGCACAGACTTCAAGACACTAACTTAGGAGTCAACATTCAAGGAACTAAGCTCAGGACAAATACCTCTTCCTAGCTAATTCAGGCTATTACTTTAAAACAATATTTTACTCTATTCTTATTTGTGTGTGTGTGTGTGTGTGTACTGGGGATCAGAGCACATCTTTGTGGAACTGATTCTCTCTCTGCACATCATGGTTCCTGAATTTTACCTGGTGGGCTAAAGCAGTGGTATGTGTTCTACTTGGATATGATTCTGTCTTCCAGCCACAGGACCGTTCCTGTGAGGATGTCTGTAGTGACCTTCCATCTCCAGAGACAGCATCGCCCACCCAACACCAGGACAGGCACCCAGTACTTTTCTGCTTGACTCTGCACTTAGAGGTACAGCTTTCACTCAAGGGTTTCTAATCCTTCCCAGATAACCAAATACTAAAGGCTATTAAGAACGGCAAGCAAGGCCAAGGCACCGTCTTAAATGTGCTAAACACAATTCCATTATTCCAAAACACTCTGTCACACACGCTTGAAAAAAAATCCGGGTTTTTACATTAATGAGGTATTTGCTGAGTTGTTTTGCTTTGTTGGAAGTCAGGCAGTGACTCACACCTCCAGCCCCTGGCTGAATGAGAAACACTAGGTGAACTGAAGGCTAGCCCAGGCTCATTCTCATTTGAGACTGTCTTAAAAACCTATTCTAGGGTAAACATCACCTGGCTCTACATTTAATATTCTAAAGTTTTGGATTTCATATCTGTCTCCATGCCTTCAGTTCCAATTGGAACTATGAATCTCTTTGTAGGCTGTTGAGACATTTAAAGGAGAGAAAAAAAAATCTCACCATGTCGGGCTAAGGAGTTATTCCTACCTCTTTCCAGTGTCTTGTTGGCTGTTTGTACTTATACTTCCCTCCTAGGACCTGCTCATGTGTGTTACTGAGATGCCTGAGCAGTTACAGCGCAGACCAGCACCTGCTGCTATAAACTTCAGATAGCACTGACTATTATTATTACTAATAACTGGTTATTCCATGCCACAGTTTCCTTCCCTCTACAAACAGCACTGGCTAACCAGACGGCATGTCTAGAGTCCTTCTCTTCACGTGGCTATAGCTCCACAGCAAGGCTTCTAAATTCTGTTTAGGACAGTGACATGCTGCAAGGGGTGAAGCTCACTGCTCTTTCCTAGACAGTCTGGGGTCATAGAAGTTTCAGGGACAACACATGATGCATCTTGCATCTATATTAAACAACGACGGTCTAAGTGCAGCTGAGACAATGGGGAAAACCAGGCACGAGGGTTATGGTTTTGTTTTCCCCCAACCTTACCCCACAGACAGGGTTTCTCTGCGTGGTCCTGGCTGTCCTGGAACTCAATCAGGCTGACCTTGAGGATAGGGTCTACCTGCCTCTGCCTCCCGAGTGCTGGGATTAAAGGTGTGCGCCACCACCGGCCAGCTAAGGGTTAAGTTTATAATGAATAAACCCTGAAGAAACTGCAGGGCAAGGAAACAGGCAGATACGCTCCTTCATTTCTCAGTCTAACACAGCAAGACAACTGCAAGGCCAAGAAACAACATCCTTCAACAATAGCTTTGTGCCCAGTGAATTCTTAATTTAGTCTGAAAATCTAATCTTTGAGAGAGGTTAATAATGACCAATAAGGATCAAAGCCCAGCTTCTCCATCATGCTAAAAAAGGCATTCTACAAAACAGGAAGTGAGGAGTGGTGCCCTAAGCTAAATGAAACCTTGTTCAAAGCCAGCCTGCCAACGGGGTGGCTGTGATTTCCTCAGCCTAAGACATCAGGAAGGCTCTGCAGGACAGACCTTAAGTCAATTCAACTAAGCAGCAAAACTCAGAGCCTTTATTTAGAAATGGAGCTACAGGTAAAAGAATAAAGACAGAGCAGAATCCAGGCAGTGGCACCCGCGCAGTCACACAGCTGTCTAGAGGGCTGGCCACAACACTCGGTCTTGGCAGCCTGCTGTTGGCTAGCTACAAAGAGAGACAGACAGTTCAGAGACCATGTAGTCTGGAACTGATTTTCTCCAGTTGCTTCAGAATGACCTGTGATAAGATCTGATCTGTTTCCACGAGAGGAAGCCACATGTGGCTCATCTCCTCACTGCAGTGCATCACCGAGATAAGCAGGCCAGCCAAGCAGCACAACCCTGGCCACACTTGCTACCAAGTGCCTGCAATCATGAAGCAAAGCAACACCTAGGTGGCTGAAGCAAGAGAATCTCTAAGAAAAGCCAGCCTGGGTGAGTTCACACAGTAGGACCCGGTCTTAAAATAAGACAAGCAAGCAAACCAGCTAAGCTACAACAGATAAAATGAAATCCCAAAGGCTGGTAAACACAAAATGCTTTCTGTGAAGGAAATGGACATCACAGGACAGCAGACCTGTGTACTGAGCTCTGCTTTCCTACACTAACGTCAAGCTTTCTGAAAAGTCCCTCACATGACCTGTATCAATTTCAATCTACTTTACAGGTCAGAGGTCTATGTTGGCATGGGACTGGACCTCAGGAGGACCAGGAGGACCTCCTGTTTGCCTTTCTTACAGAAGAGAAGATTCTGGATCACCCACAGGTCACATGGTGAAGGCCATCAACTCAGGTTTGAGTCTTCTCCACCCTGACTGCTCCTGGCCTCAGAGGGCTCACTTGAACCCCAAAGCACACACAGCACTTGGTCCTCAGAAGGTACCCCTCCTATCAAACATACGGCTGCCTCAGAACCCAGGCTTCACGCTCAACCCACCTGCTTCTCCCGGAAGGAGCGTGCTGTTTTTGACCGGACATTCTGGCTATACCGCATCATCATAAAGTTCTTCTGCTTTTTCTTCTCTTTATTTGTGGAACTGGAAAATGGGTTTATTTTGGTTTTCTTCCTCACAAACTCCTTTCGGTCTGTCCTTCCAGCCTATTAGCACAAAGAGATTAGTGAACAGTATTTCTTCATAAATAACATACCTCAGATATTCTCTAACAGCTCTGCAGGATGCCACGGACCAGACAGAGGCAGAACTAGGACTCAGTCCAACAGAAACAAGGATTGAGCTCAGTGAAAAGAAATGTCCTGATTCAGCCTGATTCCCAGAAAGCCAAGCTGTTTTTGGCATGGTAGGAAAAGGAGAGGTGAAAGACATTAGCACGTGGAAAGTGTAGAGAAGAGAGAACATGGGTTCTGAACTTATCTAATGGGTCTCCACGCAAACAGAAGCAAAGGTGACAGGAGCTTGTGAGCCAGCAGGCACCTCATGGCAGCTAAGGCACAGGGCAGCTGACAACAGTCGCTGCACAGACATGAGCAGGAGCCATGTGAGCAGTCAGCTCACTCTGACTGTGAACTATTACTGCTTTAATAAACGTGCTAAGCCTGCTGACACCATCAGCACGTAACGCTGCACTTTTACCCTCCACACTCTGTCTTGAGTGGTAGTCACATGGCTATATAGAGTCGCCCATAGTCTTCTAATGTGCAGTACACAGGTTTTTTTTGTTTCTTTGTTTTGTTTTTTTTGAGACTGGATTTCTCTGTGTAGTCAGGCTGTCCTGGAACTCACTGTGTAGACCAGGCTGGCCTCGAACTCAGAAATCCACTTGACTCTGCCTCCCAAGTGCTGGGATTAAAGGCGAGCGCCACCACCTCCTGGCTTACAGTACACAGTTTTAATCCGCACTCTCGGGAGGCAGGTACAAGTTGATCTTTAAATTCAGTGGTCTATGTGGTAAGTTCCAGGACAGCCATAGCCACATAGAGAGAGCCTGTCTCAAAACAACAACAACAACAAAATCTCTCACTAGGCCTTGGATGTGGCTCAGTTGAGAGAATGCCACTTGGCACCAGCCCTGGCTCCTCTCCGAAGTGCCACATAAACCAAGCATGGCAGGATGTCTGCAAACCACCTTCAAAGTAGAGGCAGGAGGGCCAGGAATCTAAGGTCAACCTCAACTAAAGCTTTAGACCAGCCTGGGTTATAAGTTATGTAAGATTCTATCTGTCTCAAAGCAAAACAAAAAACTTACCCAACTCACCACCTAACAATGGTGCATCTCATTCTATGTTAAGTATACCTTTCAAGGGCGAGGAGAGACGGGAAGCTTATGGCTACCCGCACTGGGGCATTAGAGTTCATTTCGTTCGCTTTCTGTTTGCAAAAGGAAGGATGGTACACCTCCACTCACCATTGCGGTTGCTAGTCTCGTCTCCTTGTCAGACTTGGGCTTTTTATGAAGGTGTTCAATGTCCCGAAGAGACAGCAATTCACCCCTGTGGCGAGGGAAAAATACAATACAAGATGGGGTGGGATTTGTTTGCCTGCTACCATCAGTGCTCCGCACGCTGACTGCAGGCTGGGCCATCCTCACCTGGACTCCTCGTCACTGTCAATCTCCAGGTATTTCCTTTTCTGGGCTTTCCCTGGGGCAGCATCCATCTCCTTCTTCATCTGGGCCAAGCGGATTTTCTGGAAGTCATCCTGTGTTAAAACTCGACTGGTGCTGATGGCTGCAGCCTTGGCTTTCCGCTCCTCCATGGGCATGCTGTCCAGCTTCTTGGCCTTGAAAAACATACAGCCAAAAGGATAACTGACTACCAGCTAAGTGACAGCTCAGTCATTTAAGTTATAACATGGCTTCTCGGTAAATAGCAGCGTGCCGCAGTCTTGATGCCATGTGGACTTACAATTGCTTGCTGCTCCTCATCAGACGAGTGGTGCACGTCAACCCACTCGCCGTCCTCCTTCTCCTCCTCCTCCTCCTCACTGAGACTGGCACTTTCCCATCCATCTGTGTGTGTGAGAGAGATAGAACTCACTGCTGCAGCTGCCCCTCATGTGGGGTAGTCACAGCCAAGACGAGATAAACACAAGGTTGAAGAGGAAGATAAGGAGCCTCAGATACGCCATTGACTGACAACTGGAGATACTTAGTCCTATGCCACATCAACTTAGTTCATTTAAGGAATGGGGACTAACACTAAGTATCTATTAATAGCCAAAACTTTAGTCTTATATCTAATTCTCACGGCTCAAAGAGGAACAGACTCTCAGAAGAAACATACCAGAGGCTAGGTGTAGTGGCATAAACCCTTAATCTCAGTAGAGATTAAAGAGGCAGAGACAGGTGGAACTTCTGAGTTTAAGGCAAGGCTGGTCTACAAAGGGAGCTCAGGACATCTAGGGTTTTGTTACACAGAGAAGTCCTGTCTCAAACAAAAAGGCCATTAAAAAAAAAAAAAAAAAAAAAGGAAGGGAGGGAGGGAGCAGAAAGCACAGCCTGTGCTCAGATCATGAGGAGCCGGTCTGTCTCTGGAGTCCGCCATTTTCATCCATGATGAGCTCCAGTCCTGCCAGGCAGCTGCAGGAGCTAGAGCTTCCCTAGCATGAGTAGAGATTCAGTATGGCTCCAACCCCAACAAAAGGCAAGGCAGGGCAAAGGGCAGGCAGAGGAACCTTCATCATCTTCTGTATTCTCTTCTTTCTCAAGCTCCAGGACCTCTGCTCCCGGGATGTAATCTTTAGCATCTAACTCTCCATATTCTTGTATTCTTGCTTCCATGGAGGCTTCAGTGGGTTTACCCTAAAAGAGAAAATTATTTAAAAATAAGGTGCTTAGACTTTTAAAAATTCATTATGAAAGGCCCTGTAGGGTGTGAACACTATTAAAAATGTAGTCAAATAACAGGAACGACCTGCTTACGTGTCAGAAACAACATAAACCCCCAGGTACAGCAAGTTCACTTTCTTCTCACTGTCTTCTGATCGAATTTGAGAAACTGGTTTTGTAAAGAACACTGAACTGCTGACATGTTAAGTCTCAACACTGCGATGTCTTTGTGTTACAAATATGCCTCCTTCTCCGGTGAAAAAGGCAATGGGGCTGTGTATCAGCTGCCCACTCTAATCTGCTGACAGTATCACACAGTGTCAACTACAAACTGAGCTGTGCATCACAGAGCACATGTCAGCAGCAAGGGCCGAGGACCAAGGAATTCAATCAAGTCCCCACTAAGCCTGAAGAACAGACCCACACGCATCACACTCACTCTCCAGGAAGGCATCAGCAATCTAACATGTGAACTGCAGACATGGCCTTCACTTTCTGAGACCCCAATCTTTAGACTAACCTACCCTGAACTTCTTCTGCAGCATCTGAGGGTTCAGTGTCCGGAAGAGATGGATCAGAGTTCTGGCAGACATCATTACATCTGTGAGATACCACCTTTGGTTAGAAATTTTGAAGCAAAGGCTAGAGTGGGGTAAGTAAGTCACACTGTACTCACTGCCTACAGAGAACAACCCGCTACTCACTCTTATCTTTGTGTGTCTTATACTGAGCCAGGTCCTGAAGAAGTTCTTCAGTCATGGCCAGAGGGCACCGAGCTGTGATCTCTTTTATAGCATTGATTCTAGAAAAGAAAAAGTGGATTTAAAATATAAAAGTACTAGGCTGGACTTTCTAGGCTTAAGCCCTAGCCCTGCATGGCAAAGAATGTGAGGGCAAACAGCCCTACAGACTGACATTCCCGACAGCCGCACTTCCTCTGACAGTATAACAAGGACCTGTGTTGGGCAGAACAAATCATGGCAGTATGTGCTCACCAGCACTAAGGAGAGAAGGCATGAAGTCAGACTGGAAGAGTTAATGTCTTCTGGGCTGTTACCCCAGCAGCAGTTTGCAAGGGAAATACAGAGAAACTGCTTAGCACCTCATTTACAGGTGCAGAGATTAGATAAACCTTCATGTTACCCAAAAGGGCTATTGAAGTTCTCTAGAATTAAAGAGTGATTCATTAACAAATCACTTGTGCCCACACAAGACAAATCCTAGGTGGGAGAAAAAGAAAACCTTAGGTTGGTGAATAGTCATTTGCATAAGAATAAAACTACAAAACATCACCTGGCTGATCAGGACAAGTATTTTTATCTAGTTCCCTCTTCAGAATTCTGACCAATAAATGAAATTACAAAGCCTCCTGAGAAACCACCTTTCTGGAGGCCACACTCACAGCGTAACTGTCCATCTATAAACACTGTCCCCAAATGTGCTCTACATACCCCACGGTCATCACTTCCCCAGAGTTCTTGTCAGTAACAAAATTGTTGGCCACCGTCATGAGCAACGAGTGAATAATCTGAATGGAAACAAAAGAGCCAGGTCAGGCGAGGATCCTGCTTCCTGTGCATGCAGACCGCAGTGGGAAGCAGCCTCCTGCCTCAGGGTGCACGCTGAGAACCAAAGCTAAGAAAGAGAAAACCGAGCGCCCCAGGTCAGCATTCTGGGTTATAGTTACAGTAAAGTTTACTGTCCTTTAATATCGTTTTCTCTTTTACATTTTTGTGTGACAGAGAATATACATTCGATGAGTGTGTACATGCTGTGTGAGAAAATACACATGTACCTGAGTGCGTGCATGAGTGTGTGCATGTTGTGATAGAGAGAATATACATGTGCATGTGTGCATGTTGTGAGAGAATATACATGTGCATGTGTGCATGTTGTGTGAGAGAGAATACACATGAGCATGTGTGCATGTTGTGTGAGAGAGAATACACATGTTCATGAGTGTGTGTATGTTGAGAGAATACACATGTGCATGTGTGTATGTTGTGAGAGAGAATACACATGTGCATGAGTGTATGTTGTGTATGAGAGAGAATACACTTTGCATGAGTGTGTGCATGTGCACATGTGTGGAGGTCAAAGGACAACTTGTTGGAGTCTGTTCTCATCCTCACAGAAGCTGCTCTCACGTTTCTACTAAGCTGCACTTCCAGGCTAGCTAGCCTTTGCTCTCTGGCGAGACCTTCCTGTCTCTAGCATCCATCTCTTGGTAGGAGTGCCAGGATTACAGATGCACACAGCTGCATCTAGTTTAAATGAGTTCTGGGTATTGAACTCATGGTGTCAGTTTTGTGGTGAGTACGTTTACCCACTGAGCCATATGACTGGCCTATAATATAATTTTCCTTTTTTAAAAATTGATGTTTTAGGTTGGCATACAAAGTAACAGGATTCATTATGGCATTTTTCATACATGCATCACTTCTTTGCGATCCTTCATTTCTACGGGCACTCTCTACTTACCTCTGCTGCTTCCCTTTCCTTTCCCACACAGTCTTGCTCCTGCTTTCTGTTTAGAGGGTTCAGTTTTGGATTCATGTGTGTGTGTCATGTATGCTGGTGGCCTCAAAGGCTGGGAGAGCAGCAGACTGGGAACTAGTTGGAGGCCGTGTGTGAGCTGCCTGTGTCCTAGGACCCAAGCCTGGGTGTCCTGACCAGCAGCAAGGACTCTTACCTGCAATCTCTCTCTAGCCTCCACTGCTGCTTCTTACCAGTTATTCCATTCCACTGTTTTCAACAATGACAGAATCACAACAAAACTGTGCTTTGACACAGGGTAGTTCAATGTTCTTTTAATCGAATCATTAAATAATAACAATCACCATGGACTCACAAATACCCTTGGACGTTCCTAGTCATAAAACTTGGTTATTAAAGTCAGAACCCTCAGCTTGCTCCTTTCTGTGAACTGTACAGCTGACTTCTGTGTCCATCTCCTCAGGACACAGAGGAGTTAGATCTCCTCCGTTCATTTAATGGGGTCAGGAGAGACAACAACTCTGGGAAGAAACCCTAATATGCCAATGGTGGCACCCCTGCACAGACTCAACCCACAAGTCAGGGGAAGTGTCTCACCTCTGGGGGCACCAGGTGATGAGAGGCTTGTGCAGCAAACAGAAGGATCTTTGTGACTTCTAAAAGCACAAGAGACAGAAAAGGCAAATGTCACTCTGCCGCCAAGGACTACTGCAATGTGACAAACAAATCCAGCTGTCATGACTGGCACTTAATGTATCTACCTCAACACCAACCCAACCTGTCTGCATGGCTTACCCACTGTAGCTTTCAGGCCCTTTTGCTCAACTGCTGCTTATCAGAAAGGTCTGCCTGACCCTACAGCCTCTGCCCCATGCTTGCTATTGTCCTTCCTCTGCTTTCCTCGTCCAAATAACTGACCTGGATATTTTACCCAGTGACGTCTAGACTTCAATTCCATGATAGTAAGGGCTCTGCTTTATGGTCACTGTGGACCTTAGTGTCTCACAGACGGTCCGCTCTCCTTGGTTTCCTGTGCATGCACAGAAACCACAAAGAAGGTGTGTGCGGTAGATCATACCTACAATCCTAGCACTTAAGAATGGAAGCAGAATCGGAAGGACCCTGACGTTGGGGCCACCTGGGGCTGCATAAGAAAATCCATTCTCAAGCCTCAAACTAAGCAACCAAGTCACAAACAAACATCTGTTGAATGAAGTCACTATATAGAAATCACATATTGTCTTCCCAGAGGCAGCATCGTGTATGTAAAGAACAGGGCCTTGGAAGCAGGCACAGTGACTCAGGCTTGTAACTACAGCACACAAGAGGTTAGTGTAGGAGCTAGATCAATTTCAAGCCAGCTTGGGCTATACAGACCGCTTCAAAAACAAGCATCCAACTGGATTTGGGTGCATGCCAAAGACAGGCGGGTATCTGTAAATTCAAGGCTAGCCTGGTCTATACAGAAGTTCCAGGCTAGCCAAGCGTGCACAGTGAGTTTTTTAAAAATATAAAAACAAAACAAGCAATAAGCCATCACCAGTCAACAAACAAGAAAAGGAGAGGCCTTTGGGGGAGAGGGGCAAATGTTGACTTGTCATTTATGTGAAATGTTCTTGGACACTTTCTTTCTATACTTCAAAGAGGTCACTTAACCTGACCCAATGATGTCCAGAGAGCTCGTAGCACAGTACCAGGCTCATGTCAGAAGCTCACCTGTTCACCTCCTTCCTGTTCTGGTTAAGTTCCAAAGGCAAAGCAAGTAGCCACCTTTCCCTGCTTTTGCATCATTGCTGACTGAGAATGCACACAAGGCCATGGAGAACATAAAGTTCTATTACCACAAAGCTACAGTTAAAGGTGAAAACTAGAGTTTTTTTTTTGCGATTTATTTATGTGTACGGATGTTTTGCCTGCACATGTGTATCTGCACCATATGCAGGACTGATGCCTGCAGAGGTCAGAGAAGGGTCTCAGATCTCCTAACTGGAGTTATGGAAGGTTGAGAGTCACCATGTGGGAGCTGGGAAGTAAAGCCAGATCCTAAACAAGAGCAGACAGTGCTCTTAACTGCTGTGCCTTCTCTCCAGCCCCAAACTGGAATTTTATATTATAAAGACTTGCTAAAAGCAAGTAAGAATTTATCTTTTTGTTTTACTTAAAAAAAAAAAAAATAGGGATATGTATGTGTCTCTGTGGCTTTGTGCACACAAGTGCAGTGCTCACAAAGACCAGAAGAGGGCACTGGATTTCCCCAGAGCTGCCTGAAGTGGGTAATGGGAACTGAACTCATCGGATACTCTGCAAGAGCAGTACATGGAAAAGAACCACTCCTTGTAATTAACAAATTGAAAAATAAAGCCTTGGCTGATTTAAGGAAAAAAAAGTAGGCCTCTCTGTCCTCCTTTATCACGGTTTTGCCAGGAAGGTTAGGGTTGGGTTTTGTCTTCTGTTTGTTTGAGAAGAGCTTTGATGTACTCCAGGCTAGCCTCCAACCTGGCATGCGGTTGGGGCTGGCCTGAAGTTCTGATCCTCCTGCCTCAGCATTCCATTTTCCTTCTCTATATAGAACACACATAACTCCACTTGTCCTTAATGACACAAGAACAATGGACTAGCCACTTCTTCTTAGGTTGGGACCAGCAAGGAGCACACACATAAGCAGGTTACCTCTCTGGTGAGGCTGCAGAAACCTTTGCACAAATGGGTAGAAGTTGAAGAGGAAAAGCTGTGGAGAGACGAATACAGCAACTTTAACATTTATAAACCCCAAACACGGAACTTCATTTCTACCATGTAACTTCATTACCTTGATAAATGCACTGGGGCTCATTCTGACTTGCTTTGTCTCAATAAGCATTAGTCATAGGCTAATTCAATATGCTCAGTAACTCAGGGACAGAATTTTCTCCCCAACGCTACCCTGCTAACCTACCACATATGAGAGAAAGGGCAGATTTAAGTAAGCAAAGGCAAACAAACCCCAACACTCTTTAACTCTGACACTGGCCTGGCTGCAGAGCTCTGTGTGGGTGTTCATAGAGGGAAGCAAGACCAGGACCAGCACTGGTATTAAAGCTCCCAGGGTCAGAACAGGGCAGATCTGAATGGCACTAGCATCATTAGATTGCCACAAACTGACAGCCCTGACTCTACGGTCTTCTGGCTCAACCACACTGCGGAAGGACTCTGAACTCTGTGTTTAACCAAGGAGAGCAACATCTTCAACCTTGTCAGAAAACTGGACTGAAGAGATGGCTCAGCCACTAAGAGCTGTTCACAACACCAACATGATGACTCACAACCACTTGTAACTCCAGTCCCAGAGAACTGAAGCTCTATTCCGGCTTCTGTGGTCATTGAACACATGCACTGCACATTTCTTTGTGGTCTAAATTTTTGGTAAAGGCAGCTACTCTAAAAGTATCAACACATACAACACACACACACCAACAAGTAGCTCTTGCAATCTAATTCAATACAAAAGAAATACCCAGAGAACCCAACATTGCAAACATACGATTCCCTACCAGAGACACCTAGAACTCAAGAATGTCAGGAAGGGTTAGGTAGGCACACTGAAAGGTAGCAAGAGTCAATACAAGTGTGATTCATTCTGGCGCAGGACCATGTATTTGAAAACAAGTGCCAACACAGGGGACAGAACAGTTACATGTGAACTGAATGTTCATACATCAGTATTCATATACACTGTGAAAAAAAAACAGCAGTAGATAAAAGCAGCTGTTTTCAGAAGGACAGGTTGCACTTCCTGCTGATTCTAACTGCAAATGATCTGGGGATAAAAACTGAGACAATGTTCTATATAACGACTTTCCTTTACCCAGTCCATCACACTCGTAAAATCTGCCAGGAGAAGCAATGAGTTCCATACCTCATGAATGCCCACCAATCTGGAGATGAGGTTCATGAACATCATCTTCACTTCAAACCTCTCCTTACAGCTCTCTAGCTGCTTCAGAAGCTTTTCTGCAAAATCTGGAAAGAATCGAGAGTCACTGTGGATTCCTGGCTGCAGAACCGTATTCTACAGGCACAGGGAAAGGGAGAGCAAAGTCACACTAGTGCAAAGACCAAGTACAGCACTCCAAGTTCAGCTTCAGGAGTTCTGAGTTGTTTTAAAGGCAGTCTCACTATATAAGTACAGTTGTCCCAAAGCTCATTCTGTAGACCAGACTGGCCTGGAACCAGAGATCTGCCTGCCTCTGCCTCCTGAGTGCAGGATTAAAGGCATGCACCACCGCTCTAGGTGATCTTTTACATTTCCTTAGAGAATTTATTTTTATTTTGGTGCATGCTTGCATGTGTGTATGATCACATGTGTGCAGATGCCCACAGAGGCCAGAGGAGGTATTGGATCCCTTTAGCACACTGGGCTGGTACTGTGAGCCACCTGATGTGGGTGCTAGGAGCCAAACCTAAGTCTTCTACAAGAACAGCCAGAGCTCTTACCCACTCGGGCAGTTCTTCCTAAGAACCACATTTTTTTTTTTGTTTTGTTTTTTTTTGTTTTTTTGAGACAGGGTTTCTCTGAGTAGCCCTGGCTGTCCTGGAACTCACTGTGTAGACCAGGCTGGCCTCAAACTCAGAAATCCGCCTGCCTCTGCCTCCCAAGTGCTGGGATTAAAGGCGTTAGCCACCACTGCCTAGCTCCCTAAGAGCTACTTTTAAAATCATTCCTTTTACTTTTTGAGGTTATATCATTTCCCCCTTCCCTTTCCTCCCTTTTAAACCCTCCCATATACCTTTTGCTGCCTTTTCTCAGTGTTACATGCACATATGTGTATGAATATACATGCATATTCCTAAACGCACAAATATACAGATGCCTGAGATGTGGGTGCATCAACCTCTGCAATGACTCTGAAGCCACTCCCACAGCCTGATGAATCAGAACCTGCACTTTACCCGGTTCCCTAGGTGATTCAGTTAAGAAACAGTGACCTAAGACAGGAGGAAGAACACAGGAAGTAATAAGACCAACAAGGAACTTAGAAGTGGTGATTATGGTACCTTGGGGATCATGAATCAAGTGAATAGCTGAAAAGTTAAACACTTCTGGTTTCTTCTTCTTCTTTTGTTTCTGGAAGAGAAAACAGTTCAAAACCCCTTTGCTCAGAATTCTTTTGACATGACCTACTAGCCAGCTCATTAGCCTGTACATGTGCTGTGTGCCCTGAAGACCACTAGCCAGTCCGTTAGGCTGTCCGTGTGCTGTGCCCACCAGGGAAAGGGTCAGTGTACTGCTCTATCACTCTCTGCCTTGTCTCGCTGAGACTGGGTTTCTTACTGAACCTGGAGCACGCTATTTTCCAGTGACACTGGCTGGTTACCAATTTCCAGGGACCCACCTGTCTCTTCTCCCACCAGTGGGGGTTGCAGATGTGCACAGCCACATCTGGTTTGTGCTAAATATCTGAACTCAGGCCATCATGCTTGGGCAGCAGTCTTCTTACCCATTGAGCCATTTCCCTGCTCCCTTACACTAATTTAAAAGAAAAAAAAACCAAAACAAAAAAACCAAAACAACCAAAAAACCCCTTGATGTAAAAATCTCTTTTCATTGTTAAGAACTAAAGTGTGTGTGTGGAGGGGGGTGGTGTTGTTGCAGAGGTGGCTCAGTGGTTAAGAGCACTGACTGCTCCTCCAGAGGTCCTGAGCTCAATTCTCAGCAACCATCTGCAATGGGGTCTGATGCCCTCTTCTGGTGTGTCTGAGGAAAGCAATGGTGGTGTACTCACATACATGAAATCAATACATCAATCAATCTTAAAACAAACAAACAAACAAAAAACAGCAACAAAAAAAGTATCAACTATTAAAATGTGAGACTTAAAAGAAATGTAAAGATCCAAACACTAAGACCACACAGAGGCTGGGGAGATGGCTCAGTTGGCGAGGTACTTGCCACGTGAACCTGAGGACCCAAGTGTGGATCCTCAAGAAGGGTGTGGCTAACTCTGTAACCTGAGCCCTGGGAAGGCAGAGTCAGGTGGAAGGAGGGTTCCTGGAGTTCACTGACTAGCTAGTCCAGCCACCCTCAGTGAGAGATGCAGAGTGATGAAGATATCCACACCAGGTTCACATGAACCTGCATCCACCTCACACGCGTACGCACGTAACCCACAGACATAACTGTAACCTACACATGACACCCCCCACAGGACTTTATAGGGATCAAACTAATGATTGTTGAAATAACCATCACCAAACACCAAACACTTTTCCATGTTGTTCTAAGAACTCAGGTCTAGTTTAGGTAAAGTTAATTGACTTAATTTATTCAAGTCAGAGTTTTGTCACAGCTGAATACAGCCTATTCACGTAGAATGTTAATGCTTATAATTCTTCACACATATCTAAGGTTTGTTTTTAACGCTATCTCTTGTTTCTAACCTTCAGTGTGCTGGCTTAAGCCCTGTGCAAGTCTACACTCTAGCAGTTGCTGCTCCATCCCTAGGCACAGCCTCACCTTCAGCACCTTCATCGCCTTCTCCAGCTTCTTCTTGTTTTTGGAGCCCTTCTTCCCCGTGGCGTACTGCACCAGCAGGTCTCTCGCTGTGGGCCCATCGTCCTGAAGAACAAATCACACGGGGAATCGGCACAGGCACATCTGCACAGTCAGCATACCATCCTTTCAACTACATCCTTTTGGTCTAGACCGTTATCTACTTTTACTTACGTGTATGTGTGTGTGTTTATATGTGAGTATGTGCACGTGAATGCAGGTGCCTTGAGTCCCCAGGAGCTGGAGTTACAGGTGTCTGGTTGTTTCATAAATAACTTCATCATCATCAACGTGTGGGCTTCTGTTATGCAACAGTGCTTGTGCAGATATCAGAGGACAAGGCTGTGGAGCTGGCTCTCTGCTTCCATCTTTACTTGGTATATGGAACTTAAGTCACTGGAATTGCTCTGAAAGTGTCTTCATCTGCTGAGCCTTCTCTCTGGACCCTACATTCTGGGTCTTAAACTTTTTGCACACACTTACTAATGAATACAACTTTCAAAATCAGGAAATAAGCATACATGTGCAAAAAAGGGCTATATATTTTCACTGCAGCACTGAATTTGTGCTTAGATTTAGTATTACTTTTAATTTCAGTTTAATATGCAGATAAAATGTTGCTTTTATTTTCAGGAAACAATCAATAGAAGAATGCTTAGTGTATAATACATTCATATTCTGGAGTAAGTGGCAGATATTCATAGATCAAAACAGTAGCTCTGTATATACCCACAGAAACAAGCACACTGCAGCATGTATGTGCTATGTACATAGCTTCTAAAAGCTTACAACACATAAGACTATTTGTACAAACATACATAAATGTACTGGAAAAGAATGAGTTACCCAAGAGGAAGGAAATATGACAGAAATAATCCAAGGTCAAAAAAACCTTTACCTAAGCTGGGCACTGGCTGTGCACACCTTTAACCTCAGCACTTGGGAGGCAGAGACAGGCAGATCTCTGAGTTTGAGGCCAGTCTGATCTACAGAGTGGTGAGTTCAAGGACAGCCAGGGCTACTCAGAGAAATCCTGTCATGAAAAAAAACCAACCAACCAACCAACCAACCAACCATCCAACCAAATAAATAAATGAAAGAAAAGATGAAGAAAACCTTTACTCTCGGTGTACATTATTATCTGAAAGGCTTTACAATGAAACACAGTAAGAATTTATCAGACATTACTGACCTACTTATCGATGCTAAAAGGATTTTAGAGTGTGTGTGTCTGTGTGTGTGTGTGTGTGTGTGTCTGTGTGTATATGTCTGTGTGTCGGCACACCCTGCAGATCCCTATGGAGAACATAAGAAGGTGCTGAATCCCTTGGAGTTGGAGTTAACGCAGCTGTAAACTGTCTAACACGCACGGTGGGAGCCAAACTCCAGTTCTCTGCAAGAGCAGGAAGTGCTCTTCACCACTGAGACACTGTTCCAGTCCTGTATGTATCTATCTACATATTTTTACAATGTTTTTTGAAAAGAACTTCTTTTTATGTCTTTTAAGAAAAACTGTTTTGTCACAAATCTTGATTAAAGACACTGCAATATTATTATTATTATTCTCCTTTCTTTCCTACTTTTGTAATGTTGGCATTAACTCCAAAACTGCCAGAATTTTGTCCTAAAGGTCTTACGGTCTGAACTCAAAAGAGCAACACACGAGCAACTGGAACATCAGAATCTGCATAAACCCACCTCGGATTCTGAGTCACTGTCCTGCTTCTCTTCCTCGTCTTTCCCGAGGAAGAATGTCAAAGCAGCAACTAGTATCTAAAGACAAACAAGGAAAAAAATCAACTTATTCAGCCTATAAATGCAGACTTCTGTTTACATATCCATCACACAGGCATACACTGTTGTGTCTGAAGGGGAAAATCTCCAAGGGTAGGAGGGAGGGTAATTACTCCTTTTCCATGAGTTAACATATTCCATAATGTCACGTACTTTACAAATATGCAACAACATCTTTAACTAGTACGGGGGGAGGGATACAGCTGGATGGCTGAGCATGAGCTTCAGAGTAAGTCCAGTCCCTGGTTCCATCCCCAGCATGCCCCAATCTACCATTTATTATATACAAACTGGCTTATGTCATGTGAAAGGAGAGGCTAGCTCTCCCCTTTACAAGGATGGAAGGGCCTTGAGCCTCAAACACGCATGCAATTGAGGCCCTGGCACCTAGGTTGTGGCATCTGATCACTGTCTTTATATACGTGTGTCTAGCATTAAACACTGTGACTTAAACACATGCCAGGCTTTATACAGCTACCCTTTGGTAGAACATGCCTACATGCTGCCAAGAAAACAGCCAGCACAGCCCTCACTATAAGTTAAATATTGTCTTTGAGTTTGTTTCAACTCCCAGAGCTCAACAGAACAAAAGTCAAGTATCAAAGGCAAATTTCTGCTTTTTTTTTTTTTTAACCAATATCATACAGCTGGGCTTTGTGGTGTTGGTTTCCCAGAGTTGCTTTCCTGGCTGGAGCTTTAGAGGTGTCAACTAGAACTGCAGGATTTTTAAAGTATGATGCAGTGAATGGCAGCCGTACAGCTCACCTTGGTGATCTTGGAGAAACATGCAGTTGTGATAACATTGACAGTTTTGGCATCATTCCTGCAAGAGAAAATGGCATAAACCCACAGTGAGTACTTCTGACAGTTAATCCTAGGATTTAAAGTGCTAAAGCATCAAATGAGCCAGCACAGGTAGAGGACATCATTAAATTACATCAAGATGAAGAACAGCCGGGCAGTGGTGGCGCACGCCTTTAATCCCAGCACTTGGTAGGCAGAGACAGGCAGATTTCTGAGTTTGAGGCCAGCCTGGTCTACATGGTGAGTTCCAGGACAGCCAGGGCTATACAGAGAAACCCTTTCTCGAAACAAAACAAACAAACAAAAAAGATGAAGAACATTTGGTGCCAAGGAACTTACTCAGAGTGTTACAAAAACAAAAACAAAAACTAAAATGCCAACAATTCTGTCGGAAAAACTACAATTTAGCAAAGGCAGGGCTAGGGAAACAGCCAGTGGGAAGAGGGCTAGGGTGAGCATGAAACCAAGTTCAGATCCCACAGTTCACCTCAGGGAGGCATGGTGTCTGCTGGCAGAGAAGGGTCCCCACAGGCAGCTAGATTAGCTAAATTAATTCAGTTAGCTTCAACCTGATTCAGATGAGAGACCTTTTCTTGATGTGTAAGGTAGAGAGCAGATGAGGAAGGCAGCTGATGCCAAGCTTGGACCTGCAAGCCCCTCCCCTACACACACACACACGCATAGCATGTGCAAATCTATACCCACACACACAAGAGAAAAATAAAACAAAATTTTTAAAAAATTAAAATAAAAATCAGCAAAATCAACCACAGCTAAAATAAAGGTTTACTTGAGCTCATCCATCATCACTGTGATGTCAGAAGAGGAACTGAAGTGGAGGCGTGCTACAGTGCTACTCACTGGCTTCCCGCCTGTTTTCCTCAGCCTGTCTTCTTAACAACCCAGGAGCCCTGCACATCATGGGCTGTGCCCTCCTACATCCATCGCTAACTAAGGAGACGCACCACAAACTGCCTACATGCACCTGATGGTGACATTTTCTCAACTGAGGTTCTTCTCTCAATTGAGGTTCCACAAAATGCTAGCTTGTACTGAGCTGACAAAAAAGAACCAACCAATCAGAGTACCTCTGTATTTTATGCCCAACTTCAATGTATAAGTATATTAAAGAATGTAAGATTAAAAAAAAAAAAACAATAAAAAAGAAACACTTATCTCTGAGCTCTATAATCAATCATAAATGGAAAAAAATAAGCTTATTTCTCATGAGAAAAATTCCTGTATGTGTTACCAGATGTTCCTTCTGTAGAGTTCGATCATCACATCCAGAGACATCTTGGCTGCGGTTGCATTGCTGTCTCTCAACATGGTATACATGAAGTTCTGCAGCACCTATGGACCCAGGAAGAAGAGCATCAATGCAGGGCTGGAAAAAAGCTGGGGGCGCAGGGGATGGGGGGCAGGGAGGGCGCAGGGGCAGAGGGCACTTACCACATTCACTTTGTTGTTCTTGTGTTTGGCGTTGATATTCTTGATATCAGTCACAATATGTGTGTACAGAGTCTGAGGAAACAAAGGACACACATTAAACCTAGGAGTGCCTTTAACCTTCGAGAAAAGCACAAACACACAGGACAACTTTGGTTTTTCATTTCACTCTCTAATAAAAGAGATCCAAAACAAGCAAGCACCCCAAAAAAGCTGAAAGGGTAAGACTGCTCTTCCAGGGGTTAGACGTGTAATTACCCTAGAAAAGAAAAGCCATTACCCTACCTGCTATACAAATAGTCACAAGTCCTTTATTTGCAACAGGCAAAAAAGGAGCAGCAACCCAACACCCATTTGCTGATGAATGGGCAAGCATGTGTCAGAGTCATGAAACAGAATATTTGGTAGCCAAAAAGATACAATCATATACACCACAATATACACTGATCTTGAAATAGCATGCTAAGGCAGCCACAAAAACAAAAACATGGATGACTCCACTTAAGTGAAACATGAGGAACAAACAGGTAGAACTATGTCGCACTGTTCACTCTGCAGACAGGCAGAAAGAATGCTCAAGGGAGCAGGGTTAATCACATCAAGGTCAAGGTCAGGCTGGACTACTCAGTGAGATCCTGTCTGAAAACTCCACAGCTGGAATGTAACTCACTGAACGAGCACTTTTAGCAACTGCAAGGCCCTGAACTCAATCTTTAGCATTCAGAAACCAAGAAACCAAAAACACAGAGGGACAGAGAGATGGCTGGGTTAAGGGCACTTGCTGCTCTTCCAGAGGGTCCAAGTTCAGTTCCAGCACCTACGTCGGGCAGTGACAACCATCAGTAACTCCAGCACCAGGGGACTGGATACCTCTGGCCTCCATGGGCACCTGAACTCATGTGCACATAGACACATATAGGCACACACAACTACATATAAGGAAAAACAAGAAAATCTTTTTAAAAAGTATACTATTATTTATTCATTCATTTATACTGTACAGTTCAATGTACTTTTAAAAAAGATCCTTTTCTGTGTATGGGTGTTTTCTGTACATGTGTGTATATATGTGTTGCCTAGAGTCCAGAAGAGAATGTCAGGTCCCCTGGAACTGGAGTTACAGAGAGTTGTGAGCTGCCATATTCGTTCTGGGAACTGAACCCAGGTCCCCTCGAAGAGCAGCAAGTGTTCTTAACCACCGAGCCGTCACTTAGCCCCAACCTTTTTTAAGGGAAGCAAATATCTAACTGAATGCATGACACATCTGTGGCTACAACATTGCTAGTACCCAAAACATGGTTCTATGGATCATTGTTAGGTCACAGCTTAGACCAGAACTATAAATGCTCAAATTGAATAGTAGCAGTCTCTTAATACATGGTATGAGGGATTAACTTGATGAATACAAATTTAAGCTTTTCTTTCTGAAATTTGTTTCATAAACCTTTAGCTCTTGGTCATAAATAAACAAATAAAAAGTCATGGGAAAATGTTAATAGCAATAGAACATTAAGTTTTACTGTGCAGGTTTGGTTCTAGCCAAGTGACTGCCCTCCCTTGTTCAGTGCAGCATGGTCGTGAAGAGATTAGGTTTGAGCACCAGGCTGCCTATAATTAAAGTCCAGCCTGCCACATGGATGCTGCCTGACCAGAGACATGTCACTCGTCTGTGACTCGACCTGTCTGTCTGTACAGCATTAACAATGAAGATTCTTCTTACCAATCTCTAGCTTAGGATTTTGTAAGTAAAACATATACTCTGAGATTGATCCCTGGTCCAGAGTGGCATTCAGCCTATTTCCTACTAAAGGACTAGCTATCTCTCACCATATCAAACAATGTTAAGAATTCCATGACCTCTGAACTCTGCAGTGTAAGCTCAGGAAGAAAGGGATGGTGGGCTAAGCCCTCACTCTTTACCTTCCGCAGGAGCTTGTCGTGGCATCGCAGAAGCTCAAAGAAGAGCTCTAGCAAACTGGACGGGTTGATGAGATTCTTATTTCTCAGTAAGATCAAGGCTTTGCAAAATGTCTAGGGGGTAAAAGAAAACATACCAAAAAGGTGAGGTTATTAAATGAGAAAACACAGCATGCACCCCGTCTCTGCACTCCCCCAGACACCAAAAAGATATTTAGCAGGAAGGCGCTCTCGGGTCTCCCATTGTCACAACATGCACAGGACAGTGTGACTGACTCTCCTACCATGCGAAGATCTGGGTCTAACACGGTGTGGTTGTAGGAGAGCAGGTCCTTCAGCTCCTGCGGGAAGTTACTGAGATGCTCCGGGTAGCAGTGGCCAATCTGTAACGAAGCAGAGCTGTTCTTAATAGCAGCCTTTCTCCTCTAACTTCAGGTGCACATTCACATAGTCAGGGATTGGCTGGGTCACAGAGGCAGGTGACTCGATCACCAGCTTTCCCTGGAGGCTGTTTCTGCTACTTTTAGTGTCCCCGTAGTTTCTGTAAAATGTATGTGGCACAACTGAGAACTTGCCTGTATGATGATTGAAAAACTTTTTGATGACTTTTGTTCTGTTTGGCTCTATGTTAAAATTCATCAAAGTCCTCCAACGTATCTTAGGAAGAAAATAAGATCTACAAGGGGGAAGGCTGTAGACGAACTTAAGATTTTACACAGACGGTGGGAATAACCAGGTGAGGGAACTTCTGCAAATTATGGTAGTGCCAACCTCTGTCTCACTGAGAAACCTTACCTGTGCCATGAACATCACCAGCTCTGCGAGTTCTTTGCTGGGTTTATTTGGTTGTAACTTGAAAATCTCCATATTGGATTTATAGTGATTATATTGCTGAAGGAACTGCAGGAGGAAAAAGAACAGAGTTTATTCCAGTCTCGCACAGAAGAACAAGCTGGCACACACCTCTGCCAGTGACACAGAAACAGGTTGAGATTCTCAAGCACTGCATGGCTCATGAAGATTTGTTTTTAGAACAGAACTTTAAGCAGGGGTATAAACATGAGTCAGAAACTCAGCTTCTGGCCTTGTTCCGCCATTCATTTACTATCACATTACCTATGTATGAAGGGCAGAAAAATGTCAGGTCAGGCCAGTAAGGGTGAAGTAAGCCTGAAGGACATGAAGCTTTCTAGTCAAATCTTCCCTTTTAAATACTCAGTAAAGCTTTATGCTAGCGTTCTAGACAAGATATGTTAACTATCAAACACAAGCCTCAAGAGATGGTTCAGCAGTAAAGAGCACTTGTTCTTGCATAGAACCTGGTTCACTTCCCAGCGATTCAAAACCATCTGTAATTCCAGTTCCGGGGGATCAGAAGCTCTCTTCTAACCTCTAGGGGTATCAGATATGCACATAGTGCACATAGAACACATTGCAGGCAAGACATGCATATACCTTCTTTTAAAAATGGGAGAAAAAAAGAAAAAGAATCAAAGACAGGGCTGGCAATGGTTCTGTGTGAGTGACTTCTGTGCACGCCTAAGGCTATGAGTACAGATGCCAAGCACTCACATGAAAGCCATTTCAAGGGGCAGAAGGAGGCTCTCTGCTGCTTACTAAATACTAGCTTAGTTCCAAGACTAGACAAAGAATGAGAGACCAGGGCCCCTGCATCCTTTACATGAGCGCATGTGTATGCACACACCAACCTCTCTCTGCCCACCTCCCCCCACCTCAAGCCTAAACAACAATTCAAGGGTAACAGACACATGGAATATAAGGCCCCAGCACCTCTCTAAGTACTTGGTTTGTGCTGAGCTTTGTATATATCTGACCCCAGTACGGTGTTTAACCACTGTAACTAAACGGAGTCAAGCACACTTCTTGCCCCACAGCTATTATGCTTCCATAGGTTCCACTGCTTTTGTGGGGCTAGGAATGTTCAGGGTGCTCAGGTATGTGAGAGAAGTACTCCACTGCTCAGCTACACCCCAGCTTACCATAGTTAGTGTGTCAGCAATCACACACACACACACATACACACACACCCCAAGTTCTCCTTAATCCTCAGCCTTTATTGAAGGGTTATTGAAGTGTAAGAGTTAAAGGGCCAACCCCATGCTACCACCTAGCCCTTGACTCCATACACTCACAGGAGTGAGAAGGTCCCAAACTTTTCATGTTCCTAACCTAGCCCTCCTCCCGATTCCTTCACTGCCCCACTCATTGACAGTTACAGACTCCTGGCCAAGGGTCTGCTTGAGATGAGCAGGACATACCATACTCTGCCCCATGTACATTCGTCACAAATGTCCAAAGCCCCAGACGCTCCCTCCTTTCTCTCATTCTAACCACCACAGCAGTATCCCAAAGTGGTTCTGTGGGTGAAGCCAGGACATCCAAGTCTTGGATCCTCCACTGTGAGCATGGAGAGTGGTAGAAGCACACAGACACACAGACACACACCACTGGTCTGTGGTCCTTCACTGGTGGGGATGAAGAGTGGTAGAAGCACAAGCACATGCACACACGCATGCATGCGTGCACATATACACAAACACATACAGCCCACTGGTAGGAATGTAGCCTGGTAGAACCACTATAAACAAACTAAAAATGACCTTCCCAATGGCCTGGTATATAATAAAAACACACACAGACACATACACACACATATATATACATACATATATATGTATATATACATATATATACATATGTATACGTATACACACACACATATATATGTATGTTACTACTCACAACAGCAAAGAAACAGAGTCAGCCTATATGTCCATCAACAGAAGAACATGTAATTCAAACGTGATACATGTACTTATGGTTCCAGCCGTGAGCTGACACCATGGCATGGGAGGAAGTCATTACGTTAAGAAACTAAACGAGACTCAGAGTAGCCCGTTTCCTCTCATAAGCAGAAGTCAGACTTAAATTTATGTTTGTGACACAAGTTAGACAGGGGAATATGGGAGGAGATTCATTTTAATGTGTATTGAGTGTTTGCCTCCGTGTATGTATGTGCACACATATGCCTGGTATCCAGAGGCCAGTGTAGGATCCCCGGACACTGGAGCTACAGATGGATATGAGATATCATGTAGGTGCTGGGCAACGAACCCAAGACCTCTGGAAAAACAGCCAGTGCTCTGAAGCATCGAGGCAACTCCCCAGCCCAGGAAGAAGAGATCTTAAAGGATGAAGGAAACTGAAATATATGTGACATGGATACAGAGGTGGGGGCTGTTTGGGGAAAGGAAAGGAACCAGTAAGGGGAGGGAGACAAGGAGGATTGGGAAGGGTGGTGTAGAAGAGGATAATTAAGAACACTTCATATATGTACCGAAGTCCAGAAACAAAACCCATTACTCTGCATGCTAACTGAAAAAAAAATTAGTAACAGAAAAAGAGTTCTAGGGCTCTTAATTCACTTCTTTGTGAGCTGCTGGACACTGCTCTAACACAAGGACACCTTGCCTGTTAGTACTTTGTTGTACTAGCTCGTCACTCTCTATTGTCACCTTAAGTATTAAAAAGCATTTGAATATAAAACACTCACATAGCCGGGCAGTGGTGGCGCACGCCTTTAATCCCAGCACTTGGGAGGCAGAGGCAGGAGGATTTCTGAGTTCAAGGCCAGCCTGGGCTACACAGAGAAACCCTGTCTCGAAAAACAAACAAAGAAAAAACAAAAAAGAAAGAAAGAAAGAAAGAAAGAAAGAAAGAAAGAAAGAAAGAGAGAAAGACCATTCATATGTAAAGATAAATTGGGGGGAGGAAGGACAAAGAGAGCTGAGTTATTCACTGAAATAAAGTCGAAGGAAATAAATGGCAGCAGGCTGAGATGCCGGTTTCATGGTTCAGAGACAAAGGCGTGTCTTAACCTATCTACCAGGTTAAGAGTACAAAGTCACCGCTTTCATTTAGTGGTTCTTATTAGTTCACACATTTGGAGTGTGCTAAGTCTCTCACACAAACTGGACCTAACAGAATTGTCGACCGCACTTTTCCCTCAAAAGCATTTTCTCAAATCTAGTTCAGGCTGGCTCCCACGAGTCTGAACCGTGGCTTAACTACATCTTCTAAACTCCTGACTGTGGCCCTGGCATCTGAGAATTCCTTGCTCTTCTTGGCAGAGCGTGGGGCACTCGGGAGCGGCCGTCTGTGCAAAGCACTTTTAACACACGACTCATATGTTACGGGCTAATTGGAGTTTTTGCTGCGAGGCGGCCGACGGCTGGACCTCTTCACCCCTCTCCACGTCGGCGAGGCGGGCGGATAAACTCGGAGGCGACGGGTTTTAGACTGTGTTTCAGTGTTGGTGGGGTCTGCAGGGCAGCGTGTTTGCAAGCGGTGGGAAACAGGTCCTTAGGAAGTTCCTTCCCCATACCCCGTCTCTTCCCCAGGGCCCCCGGAAGCACACCGGAACGTCCCGGCGAGCCGGATCCCTGTCCCACCTCCTCGACGTAGGCCGGCGGGTCCCGCTTGATCAGGTTCTGTAACTGCGGCAGGTTGCTGGGCAGCTTGTTGTTGTTCCTGCCGGACATGGTGGCTGTAGCTGGGCTCCCTGGTGAGCAGTTCTTGGAAAACGTAGGCCTCTGTCAGTCACAGCCAGGTCCCCGCTGCAGCTTGGACTCGTGTTTCCTAGTGTAACCGGAAACAGCACGTGGGACACTCCGCTAGCCGAACTGAGCTACGGAACTCTCAGAGGATCAAACTTAGCCGCCCGGCTGCAATGCTTTGTCGGACTCTGCACTCTATCGGCCCCTGTCGTTGGGCAACCGCTACTACTATCACCAAACTCGTGATGCAATCTGAAATTTAAAGTTGTCTGTGTTTTTCTTCCACATACTCGAGCAGGTTTCATTATCTCAACATTCTTTTCCATTGAAAACAATTTTTATACAATATATTTGGTCATGTTTTTTCCTCCTCTAATTCCTCCCCAGATCTCCCCCCCTAGCTCAGCGCTCTTATGATGGCCCAAATGAAATCCCTGTACTCGGGAAGCTGAGGCAGGAGTAGTATATGTTGGGGCAAGCCTGAGGCTTATGCTGTCTCAAGAAAAACAACAGAAATTAAGCAGGGGCCTGGAAACTGGTTCAGGTGGCCTATCTCGTAGGAGATACTAGGTTTCTTCCCCAGTACTCCATAAACTGAGTGTGTTGGCTCATGCCTGTAACTGGAATACTTAGGGAAGAGGAGGCAGGCATGTTGAGAAATGTGTACCCTCAGCAGGTACCTGTGCTCATAGTACACGTACCCACACAGAGATGCACACTCATAACTAAAACAAAAACCTTGTCAGAAATAAGAATCATTTTATTTTAGACTGTACTAAAGTTAGAAGAAAAATCCATGAGGAATATGCCTAAAAACCACTGTTTTAGAAAATGGCAAAGAGCGGGTGTGTGTGTGTGTAGGTTAGATTGGTTTTTGGTGGTGGTTTGTTTGTTTGTTTGGTTTTGTTTTTGTTTTTGTGGGGAGGGGGGTTCAAGACAGGGTTTCTCTGTGTAGCCCTGGTTGTCCTGGAACTCACTCTGTAGACTAGGCTGGCCTCAAACTCAGAAATCTGCCTGCCTCTGCCTCCCAAGTGCTGGGAATAAAGATGTGAGCCACCACTGCCCGGCTGATTTTGTTTTTTTGAGACAGGTTTCTCTGTATAGCCTTGGCTGTCCTGGAACTCAGTCTGTAGACCAGACTGGCCATGAACTCAGAGATCCAGCTGACTCTGCCTCAGGAGTGCTGGGACTTAAAGGTGTGTGCAACCACCGCCCCCAGGCAACTCTTTTTTTTTTTGGTTTTTCGAGACAGGGTTTCTCTGTGTAGCCCTGGCTGTCCTGGAACTCCCTCTGTAGACCAGGCTGGCCTCGAACTCAGAAATCCGCCTGCCTCTGCCTCCCAAGTGCTGGGATTAAAGGCATGCGCCACCACTGCCCGGCCCCAGGCAACTCTTAATTCTAAACACAGAGGGGAAAGCATAGCCGTTGAATGGTAATTAGTCTTATACTAACAGATGAATCAAGGTGTTATTATTCTGCTTAACCTAAGCAGTTTCCTAGACTAATTTCATCCACGGTCACCTGCCACTGTGTTAGAGTCCAAATTGAAAGAAATCTATAATCATATCTGGACAAGTCCTGAGGGTAGTTAGATCAAGAGTGCTCGTGAGGGGGTTAGTGTGCTATTAGAGGATTATTCCTTCCATATGCAAGTATTCTAATGTTGATGTTTGCAGCCTAGTGGGTGGTGGTTTAGCCCAGAAATAAAGCAATGAATGTTTGTTTGTTTATGTATATTGGTGTTTTGTCTACCTATAAGTCTGTGCGTGTGGACGTGTGTATACCTGGTGCTCAGAGAAGCCAGGAGAGGATGTCAGATCCCACAGACTAGAATTACAGATGTTTACGAGCCAGTGTGAGGGTTCTGGGAACAGAACAGCCCTCTTGCAGCAAGTGCTGTTAACCACTGAGCAATCTCTCCAGCCCAGAGAATTATCTTTTTGTTTGTTTGTTTGTTTGTTTGTTTGTTTTTTTGAGACAGGGTTTCTCTGTGTAGCCATGGCAGTCCTGGAACTCACTCTGTAGACCAGGCTGGCCTTGAACTCAGAAATCCACCTGCCTCTGCCTCTGCCTCCCAAGTGCTGGGATTGAAGGCATGTGCCACCACTGCCCGGCCTTTTTTGTTGTTGTTGTTGTTTTGTTTTGTTTTTAGCGAATTATCATTTTTAACAACTGTCCTGGGCCTTGTCATGATTCTAAGGAACTGTGGGTACTGCAGCTGCCTGAGTGTACAAAGGTAGGGTGGCATCCAACATGGTTCCAGTGAATGACCTGACTCCCCAGTCAGGTGAAGGAATGAAGAGAAGACAAACATACACACAGGGGACCTAGGATTGGGTGTGCTGGGCTCTCTAATGGAGAAGCTGCAGCCACTGGAGAAGCTTGCAGTGCTTATCAGATACAGTTGGGCAAGGAGGTGGTTCCATTGCATGCAGAAGAGAAGAGAGGCAGGTTTAGCTAGTTTCTATAGGAGCTATCTCTGTGAATGTATGGGGTGGGATGAGAAAAATCAATGTGGGCCTTTTCTGTACACACTATCCACATTTGTATTCAGACCAGGAGGGAAGGCTTTGCCACTTCCCTGAGCCTATGCACAAGTGCTGTGATTTTGTTCTGACAGTCTGACAATTGTTAACTCTCGGGCCTAAGGCAGGAAGTTTTATGGGATGAGATTTCCCTTGACCCTGTCATTGTGTAACAGTCTCAGACACTCTCCCCCATCTCCCCCAACCCCCCACTAGCTTTAGCTTGGTTTAGACATAGAAGTTTTCTGGCTTTTAAACATTCTGCCCTGTGGCCTCCTCCTGTGTTTTATGACACAGCTGTTGCTCAAATGATGTGTTTATAAAAAGATAAAGAGATAAAGAGTATGTTCTGTGGGTGTGTCGAGAGGTATGGGGGAAGGGGATGTCTCAGCGGGCCCAGGCTGAGGCATCTCATCCACCTGAGGGACCAGCCACACAGCAGTATAGTATAAAGTAGAGTTTATTCAGGGCATGGGGAGGGGAGCCCGGAGGGTAGTAGAGGCAGAGAGAGAGAGAGAGAAAGAGAGAGAGACAGAGAGAGAGAGGAGAAGTAGAAGAGTAGAGTAGAGACATGTGACCCGCGTGTAATTGTCTCGCCAGCAAGACACACACGGACACCAGGATCCTTCCGCAGCAAACGTTTATTCCAATGAAAAGGAGGAAAACCCCGGGCCCGGAAAAGGCACTGCTTATATACCCTTGGAGCGGCGTGTTCACTTCTGATTGGCTGCTTACTCGTTACCCGCCAAAACGCCCCGGGATGGGCTGTGACTTGGCGCACTTTTACCATAGCACATGCGCAGTTTACTTGTTTACTTGGAGGAGCACCGGATGCCAGCGCCATCTTGTAATGGCGAATGCTGTCAGCACGAGCCACGGCTTTCCACATCGAGACAGGCCATGAGCACATGGAAACGGTGGGGGGAGGGGAGACGGGGGAAGGGGTGAGGGGACAGAGGGATAAAGAGATCAAGAGAGAGAGAAGGGGGCAAACAGCCCCTTTTATAGTGGGTCAGGCCTACCTGGCTGTTGCCAGGTAACTGTGGAGGTGGAGTTTAGACAGAATACTAACATTCCCCTGTTTTGGTTTAATTAAAAGAGAAAAATAAGAAAGAGGTGACAGCGAAGCAGGAATAGGATTGTTGTGATATCTGGCTACTTCCTGCTGGCATTGGGGGGTGACGTGTCTCTAGGGGGAACCTAGAAGAATGGGTATGGGGGATGTTTGTCCAGTCTTAGGAGAGTTGACTGTTTCCAGCTGTCCAGGGTCTATGGAGCGAGCCATCAGAGGATAGGTCAGAAGGAACAGGTCCAGTAGAAGCAGCTGTGTGTGTGACAGGAGATGGAGCATCTGGAGGTTGCTTCTCTGGAGCTGTTCTGGATGCGCCTGGACCTGACAAAATGTAGGGAATAAGATTAAGTAGATTTGGGAGAAAGAAATTTTTTTCTAAGATGTACATTTGAAACCCAGAGAGATCCCACCCTTTGGAATTAGGTAGTAAGTGGGAACTTTAGGCAGATGTACTTATCTGGATGGAGTCTATTTGGTCCGTGAGAGGTAGATCTGAGTGGGCTTCCTGTAGCTTATAAGTTTACAAAAGAGATAACAGCATGAGTTAACGACACGAGCAGTCTTTAAGATGAGCCTTTGTTGGATCGTATAGTGGAATGTTTTATTAGAGTTAGGCAAGATTATAGGAACTCAGATAATTTAGGACAGTGGGATAGCAAGAAGAGGAAATATGAAGCATTTAATTGATGGCAACTGAGTTTAGGTAATGAGGTAACAGATAATATCTGTGGAAGCTTAGCTGTCAATGTAGTCAGAAGTCTGAGAAAGAGTAAACAATAATCTACCAGTTATATATTATTTTTTAAAAATGACAAGAGTCTGCTAGCCAACAGTTCCCGTGGTCTCCATGGTCTCTTGGGTGAAGTCAGTCTGGCTTTCAAGCACAGAAGACGCAGGACTTTCTTCTGTGGAATGGATACACGTGACATGAGAAATGTCTTACCTTGGTTCAACCAAGTCATTTGACTCAAGGCATCCAGTTTTGTCTACTGAGTTTTTTTTTCAGTGATCATAGCATCACATACAATCCAGGCAGTATCTTCTAGGTGTGTGCACATCTTCTGAAACCATCTTGGGTCAACTGTTAGAGGCTTTGGGAATTCTGTCAGTCATAAACTTAAGTATATTATTAGCAGACTTCTGACAAGATTGAAAGTCATAAAGATTGGTTGTAACTGAATAGAATTTAACAGCAGTAGTAAAAATCTATTAAGACAGGATAGGAAAGAGTCTTAAGTAACTTTGACAGGTTGTGTAGGCAGAGAAAAGCACATTTTTGTTTTAACAAAAAAACATTTGGCCAGGACTAAAATAAGAAAGCTAGCAACAGTGGCACGTGATTGTAAGGCTGGCGGGTCAGGGCTGTGAGCCACAGGTCAGGTCAGTGGTGGCTGCGGGGCAGGACTTCTTACAGTGCCTTTGCCAGCTAGAGTCCCTTCTTGGGGGTGCGGGGAGAAGCAAGCATGTTCCGTATCACAGCAAC